TGATAGGTTAGACTCGCTTAAAACATGCGAGGCACATCATCTTTTGTTGGCCAAGATCAGCGCTTACTGCTTCGAAAATGACATATTAGACAGTTAACAGGCTTAAGAAAGCCACACGGAGACTTAGCACAGTGTAAAATTAAGAGTCTTGGCCAGTCTTGAATTCTCCATCATAGCCGGAATTAAAGAGCATCGCTGGCCCCTCTAGAATACTCGTTGGCCACTCCGCTCATTCGGAACCGTAATATTCTTCCCAGAAGTCCCATCTTTGGGTAATTTTGCCCTCACACTCCTTTCTTATCTCCTGCTGGAATTAGATTCTGGCATACATTCTTTTTCATTTGCGAGAACAGCAATTTGGAAGGGCAGCGTGTATAGATGATATAGAGATATCTGTCGCATAATCGCATTGCTCCCCGTGGTCAGAGACGTGGATTCTGCTCGGATTTCAAACACATTCGCCCGGTAGAGGTTCTCATACCTGCCCACCAAATTTGCATGAGAGCAGGCCTCTTATATCAACAATGCGTTTACTTGTCGTCCTAGCGGCGACGATCTCGCCGGCATTGGCATTTTGGCGTTTGCCATGCCGCGGTCGTGTGGGACTGGGTCCTATCGATCCTATTGTCAACCCTGGCAAACGCTCCAGTCACGTTCATGCGCTTCATGGAGCAGGAAGTACGTACCCCTTTCCTCCATCCCCTTTCGAGTGTGCATCAAGTTTCTAATACATCCTAGATCTTGGCTTGACCAATACATATGAGCAGCTCAGGGAATCTGAATGCACGTCTTGTGAAGTTCTGGAAGATATGTCTGTATACTGGGCGCCCGCATTGTATTTTGAGCATCCAGACAAATCCACAGAGCTGCTTAACCAGGTTGGCGGTATGCTGGTGTAGGTTCCCTGCTTAAAATTCTTGTCACTTTGGTCAACGCTGAGACCCAGTAGGTACTACCTTCAACGGCACGAGCCTAAAGAGAAAGTCCATGCGTTTCCTCCCGGTCTGAGAATGGTTGCTGGCAGCACCTTCCAACGTAACTATACGGACGCTCAGAAGAACATTGGGTTTACTTGCTTGAACTATGACAAACATCCCAAACCTTACCCTATTCCTCACACGTTGCCTGATAAAAATTATATTGACACCAATTGCAAGCACGGAGTTCGTGCCGAACTCTTCTTCCCTTCCTGTTGGGATGGAGTGCGGACTGATTCTCCAAATCATAAAGACCATATGGCCTATCCAAGTCGCATTGACAATGGTTTCTGTCCTCCCGGTTACCCCATCCGTCTGGTATCTATATTTTTTGAGACGATTTGGGATACCAGCGCCTATAAAGGGAAGCCTGGAAGATTTGTCTTCTCCAACGGTGACCCAACAGGTTATGGCTATCACGGCGATTTCATGAATGGCTGGGATGAAAAATTCCTGCAGAAGGCAGTGGACGAATGCACCAGCAATTCTGGAACTGTGCAGGATTGTAAACAGTTCACTCTTCAGAGGGATAATGTGCAGAACAAGTGCAAGATGCGCACTCCATCAATACTTGAGGGTGAGACCTTCACCCGGCGCGCGAATGGACTGCCAGAAAATGTTCCCATTTCGGACGGCCCGGGTTCCACAAAACCGGGCAACCCGCCCCCAGAAACCAAGCCACCGACTGGTGAGGATCCCAGCGACAAGCCCGGCAACAAACCACCCACTGACGACAAGGGCAACAAACCACCAACCGACGACAAACCCGGCAATGAGCCGCCCACTGACGACGAGCCCGACAACAAACCACCCACTGACGACAAGGGCAACAAACCACCAACCGACGACAAACCCGGCAATGAGCCGCCCACTGACGACAAGCCCGACAACGAGCCACCAACTGACGAGACTCCAGGCAACCAACCTCCCCCCGAAGACCACGAGCCTGGTTGCGAGACACCAACCGGGTATCCCGAAACGGAACTACCCACGCCCACCAACCCACCCGTCGTTAAACCAGTCGACCCGCAACCCACCGAGGTGCCTCCACCCGGGGTGACTGATGCCCCCGACGGCGAGTGTCCCGCTGGGGAAATAGTGGCAACGAGCTGGTCCACCAACGGCAACTCAGTGTACAAGATTAACTATTATCAGCAAACCGTTATAGAGACCATCACAGCTGCTGCTGCTGTTGAGACCGCACCTGCTCAGGCCCATGCCCGCATGCATAAGAGACGCTTCCATCATCACTAGTTTAAAGCCTTTGTAGTTTGATAACTCTTTTGTATTTTTTGTTTTTTCAATTCTTGAGGCCTGTGCTAGCTTGTCTCCTAGCCTGATTGCTTTGTATATTGGTTCGATAAACTGCGAATACTTTGTCAATGGTGAACATGCTAGTTACGATAATCGGGCCAGCTCTCTCATGAAAAACAAAGGGGATGGGAAAAGAAGGCACACTGACATCAGGTCACATTACAATTCTTCATTTCGTGTATTTATTTGGCACCAATTTTGGGGTTTGAATTTCCTGATATCATGGCTGATTTCATCACAGCTCTTTGTTTCTGCGTTGATTTTGTCACTTTGTTTCCTTGGTTTATATTTTCATTCCTGAAATTCTTCACTGTATATATTGAGGGTTTCTTTGCAGGAATATTCCGTGAAACAGCTTCGAACAGATTACTGCATGCAACAAAGGAATGTTAACAGTGATGAACTGCCATTTTCTCCTTTCCTTTTATAAGGTGTAGTAACACCGGTACTCCTTAAAGCGCTGGAAACGTGAAACCAAAACAAGGGCAAAAGGCCATTTGTAAAATACCAATGCAATTAGTTAAAACGTGAAGGTTTTTACGCCACACGAAGCTGAGCAGATAAATTGAGGGGAAATATATGAAGGATAAGAGAACAAAGAAAAATATTACGTTGTCTAGGAGTTTGCAATTTTGTATGCCCATATTCTTCGCACGCAGGGCCAAGCTGTATGTGGTTGGCATTTGACACAGCTAGCATTCACGGCGGGAAAGCACAAAACGAATTACTCTTCGGATAGAATGAGGGTCGCATCGCACGGTATGTGAAGCAGAAGCAGCCCAATCTTTATCCGGATATCCAATTGACACTCGTGAGTAGGGTGTGGCTTTTCCTTTTTATCGAATCCAAACAATATCATTGGAGTATAGGTTATGACTGTATTTTATCGTACCATTGGAGGTGGGAACGCGGGGCGTAATGGACGTCCATGGAACACACAGGAGAACGACTCCAAGATAATTATATAGACACGGGGGTGGTATTTATAATTTTTCGTCTCCTTGGGTGGGTTATGACTTTGGAGGTCCCCTCCCAGTTTGATTTTTCAGCTCTTCACGGAACAACTCGAAAAAGCGTTTGAAGCTGCCTTCTGGTTCTATTTGTTGGAAAGATAGAAAGTAAGTAAATAGTGTTTTTCTTTTTGCTTGACTTCCTTGGGGGTATTTCCAACTGATTAGAAAAAACTCACTATCGATATTGGTGCCTCCCATATCCTCCGGAGATTTCCCATACCGAATCTCCTGAACCTTCTTGTGCACTTGCCTCACAGTTCTGTGGAACGCAGGGCTCGATAAAAGCTAGGGTGGACGGGAAAAGAAGAAGAAAATGTGTTAGACGTAGGACGAGATGTGCTTGATCACACTGGATATGCATTGGCGAGACGGGCTATGGGCAACTTACCCTTGCAGTGAGCCAAACCTGATAAATGGGGGGAAATAGAACAAGAACAACCCCAGGTCAGCGAGGCGCCATATTAGTGAGGGAAAAGCCTTGTGCATGGCTGACAAACTTGACATACCTCAAGGAAACGGAGCCACATGCTGTGTTTTGTGCAGTGAAACTGTTCCTGCTGCCATCCAGCAAGGCGATTCGTCTCCTTACATGTGGTTGTAGCGTGGGGCCTAAAACGCGTTTGCAGAAACCTCAGGAAGCAGGCTTCGTGAGACTACAGTGGCGCGTCTAAGCAACAGCTGCAACCCAAAGCCACGAGGGTGGAAACTCTGAGGGAAAAGTCAAAGTCGTAGTAGTATCTTTTGCGCCGGTTAGCGGGGCGCCCAGCCTGCCGGGCGCTGCTGTCATTGGTCCGTTTTGTGCGCTAGGCCTGTTGCGGAAGCACCGTTGCCGCTTCGGGGATGGCGCGCCCTCTCGCCGCTTCAACGGCCGGCTGCTCGATCTATAAAAACCCGTCCCGCGCCCTCGCAACGACCACACACACTCTCCTCCTCTTTCTTTCCTCTCCCTCTTTCTCTTTCTCTCTCGCTCGCTCGCTCGCTCGCGCTTGGATGCACTGCCCCCTCCCTCCCTGCAGGGGACCGGTGCCGTCTTACCCGGACCACCTCGCGGGCTGCTGCTTCATTGGTTTCTGAGCCATCCACGCCGCCCCTCGCGGTGTTACTTCACTTGATCTGGAGTCTAGGCTGCTGGGACATCTGCAGCCATGTTGCAATGACAATGGCCTTCGCCGCGTTGTAAGATCGGCGACCGTGAACCGCAGATTGTCAATAGTTTATGTTATTTTTATTTTATTTTATTACTTTTTATCTTTGGTTGGGAGGTCGAGAGTTTCCGCTCCCGCCCTCTCATTTTCTTGTTTTCCTTGCGGTTTTATCCGGTCGATCTGTTCTCCCGTACTCTTTTGTCTTGGGGTGCCTTTCGTCCGTGGAGATCTGAGTGGAAAAACAGGCGATGATTGATCGAGGCGCACGGAGAAGACCAGCGGGCGAGCCTCCTGGAGCCGGGCGGCTTGCTGAGCGCTGAGTGATGGAGGGTTGCATCGCCCTTTGACCCACCAAGGCAGACTGCCTCATTTCCTTTCCCCAGCCAATAGCAAAATTGCTGCACTTCTTTTTTTGGTATCTCGGTGTACGCCTGCAGGTCGACCAAGTCGGGTTTTCATCAGGATTGCATGCTCGACATATCAGGGTTGGAAGTGGCGATAGCCATATGCGATTGGTGCAGGCGTGTTTATCGACCTCCAGGTGGCTTTCATATGAGGATGGACGCGTCAGCAGTCTCAGAGAGGATTCAGGGATCCGAGGGATTCACCCCATTGCTTCCTCTCCTATGTGGGAGATGGTGAGGCAGTTGAAGCCTCTGTGCTGAGAGCAACTATAAAGGGTGGCCGAGCCTTCTACGAAATCACTGGCACTTTCTCTCGCCCTCGCACGTTCTTCCCCTCAGGCTCAATTCCCACTCTCCTTCCTACTCCCCCGATCCACCTCTGACTCAGAATCTCCCCTCTCAGATCCCCAATTTCCTGCCCAGATGGCCCTCGCGTTTCATGCAAACAACTTCAAGCTGTGGATGCCGCGGCACCCCAAGTCATTCTCACTGCACAAATGCCCCAATTCTCGCACCGCACAATCCAGAAAATCCCCTCCCCCAGCCTCACATTGTGATGTCTTCCCCAACACCCTGTTGCCCCCCAAGCATGGCCTTGGAGTGCTCCGATTAGACCAAATGCCACGAACATGGAAGATAATATTTTGTAGAGGGAGCAGGATGCCGGAAGTAAATAAAAAAAGAGTATTCTTTCAACCTCCAACCAGAATGGCAATGGGATAAAATTTTCCCAGCTGAACGTTCATTTATTCGAAAGTTAACCTGACGGTCTTCAGATAGCTAAGTTAGTGGGAAAACTAGCCTTCGCAAATTAGGGCAGGTTGGGTAGTGATAACTACCTCATCACTGAAATGGAATAAAGAAAACGGAATATAAAAAGTACGTGGAACTAGTTTAGGTGTTTCATACCTCAAGCTCCCCGCCAGGCTAATCAAGCCAAGTGTCAGGTCCCCATCGCCGCTGCTAGCTGCTCGTCTCCAGTAGCAGTCTTTGCCCTGTGTAATTGAAACCCAAAAGAACGCAATGGAGGAGCTGCCTAGAAGCACCCATAAACCCTATAGCATGGCATAGGCATGTGTAATGAGTTTGATTCCGGGCGGCATTAGGGAGGGTGGTAAGTTTATGATACAGTACTCTTCACATAGGTGAGAGTGTGTGCTTTGCAGTATTATATATATCAAAGTCAGATCCGTATTAATGACGCAGCAACCTGCGATCCCACTATTCCTCCTTTTATAGATAACTGAGCCTCTTCCGCAATGGCAATACTAATGAAACTGAGACGAGACCTAACGAATTTCGATACCTCACTGCCATAATTTCGGGGTCTAAACAAGAGTGCAGAAGGTGCTATCGCTGGCATAAAATCTTTTTTATAGGCACTCAAGTCGAAAATTGTTCAGGAACTGGGCTACAGGAGGCTGTTCGTGAGCTCTTCCGGGCGCCGTGATTTGCATAACTTCTGGAATCGAAAGCAAGAGGCGAAGCTCCTCCGACAGCAATGGGAATAGTGGCATTGATTTGCATCAGGGATGAAGTGGGAACGGGAGAATGACCAGGTGCCAATGCTGGAGCAGGCAAATCATTGTCTGCTTCGTATCCCCTATCATTCTGGGCATGATGGCCGGCCACGCTGGTCATAAGGGGTCGTTGCCCAAGAGACCCATATACAATAAGCATCGTTGGTGCTGCTGTCGTTAGGGCCCACGTAGGGAATCCCGGCGCCCGAGTCTTCAACGTCAGGACATTCAATGTTGGAACTGTCATCGTTGTCCACTTCAATGAGGAAGTTAAATGAAGATACAGGGTCGATATGGGCAATTTAACAATGTAATTCACTTTAATGCGGAACTATACGGAGATAATATAGGGCCAGGACGGAGAACGAAGCCTAACAACAGACAAAAGTCGTGATCATCGGTGTGGCGGCAGCAGGACGGAGAGAAGAAAGAAATAGGAACAGAAATGGATATAGAGGCGGACAGGACCAAGCACAAGAAGGTTTTACTCAACATGGCATGGCTTTACTCAATATGGGGCTGGTTACCGTAAGGTTTCAGAAATTGCGTGGCACTTCTTGTACTGTGCCTCAGTTGTCTAGGAGTATCCTCGAAAGCTCAGCAGGTCGCACTAGACGCGAGCCAATGATTTTATTTCCTCAAACCGAGAGAACAATCCTACTCTCCACTCCCGAAACTGGCGTGCGGAGATGGGAAGAGCTTCACTGGTCCTCTCGAGAGTCTGTTTGACGCCGTCATAAATATTGGGTGGAAGGCTCACTTCTTCCAGCGCAGCTGGTGACGGTACGCCTTGCGCTGGATTTAGCATCGACTGGACATCTTGGACTTCTTGGTAGAGTATTTTCATAGCCCGCTGGGAGGTAATCGATGCGACTTTACCAGTAGTAGAGTCCGGAAACAAACTGGAATAGCGAAGATCCGGATTGAACACCCATAGCTACGTATTTGAATGAATTAGCGGATCGTTGAAGTCTGGATTCATGTGCAAATTTTCTTTGGAAATCAAGTTGAGCGAATTCACAACTGGCAAAGGTAAGATGAGAAGATGAGGGTATGCTAGTAAACTCACAAGCAATCCTATTTTGTTATCTCGACTGCTCGTGTCTGTATATTCTGCACTGTGAACAGCAAATCTCCTCGCTCCAACCCTCTCAACCAGATCGAGCAACTGGGTTCCCACGATCATGTCTACTGGGTACGTCTCCCACACATCATGGTCAGAATTGATGCCGTCCTTGGGTTTTCGCAAGAGTGAAACGTTTGCTTTGTATAGTCTCAAGCCAGAAAAAGCCTTGTGCTCTTCTCCTACTACAGCGCTGCAGCGGGAACACAACAAATCGACCACGGGTTGGAATTTAGTCTCATTAGCCGGCTGATTCCCGTTTCCAATGTGTCGAGAGGTAGAAGACAGTGGGAGGATCTGGAGGGGTCCACAATTTTCTTGTTAGTTATGCGCCGTTAATCGTATAATTTACATGTGGAGGGAAGGTTTCATGTTAAGTTGGTGGAAGGAGGGTACTCTTTTTGTTATAAAGCACAACGAAGAGACGGCAAAATAAAATGGAGAATTGAAAAGGAACGAACGTTAGCCATTACAATTGTCACGAGATACATCGGAGGTATAAGATCCATTGAGGTGAGAGATCCATATATAAGTTTCCAGGCTTTGCAATGATACTAACATCCGCTCCTGCGGGCGTGTACCTCAGATCATATCCCGCGAATCCCACAAAACCTCGGAGCGAATACTACTACCGGACATCTCTTGCGTTTTTCTGGATCCAAAGAAACAAAAAATGGCATGAAGAATCCAGGTGAAGTATTCAAATTTCGCGGTGAAATACATCTCAGGCTATAGAAATTTTCATGTTTCAACCATTCCTCCTCTCTTCCTAGTCGCTTGTGAATACATCTCCAGCCAAGCCTATCTTCAGAGCGAGGGAGGATACAGAAAAGGGAATGAATCAAAGGTTCCATCAGGTTTAGGGAGAGGGAATCCATCTACCAACCCTTAATTCCGAAAAACCAAGAGTTGATGAGGTTTCTCTCTTCAATATCCTGCACTTGATTTGGCCCTATCTTCTCCCATTTCCTAGCTTCCTTCATCATGATGGATTGGGCTGCGGTTGGGGAAAGTACCAGGTAATCGGAGGCGCGGAATCCCTTGCAGGGATTTCCAGCAATTTTCTTCTCGTCGATAGTTGATATTGGGCAGTTGTATCGGAAACAAGATCGTGGGATATGGAATCTAGCAATCTCGTCTCCTTCTTTGCAGCCCGAAGATGAGGCGATATTACGCGATAAAAAGCAAGGAACCGTAGCAGGTAATAGAAAATAATAGACAAAAAATAACTATCAAATGCAGCGGTATACGACTAATTGGACCTCTTCGAATGAATAGAGGCGGCGAAGGGGCAAGGGTTTTATGAGTTGCAAAGACCATTTTAAAAAAAAAAAAAAAAAAAAAAAAAAAAACCCACTTACCGACTTTTGTAATCCCTGGCAATCGCCCTCAGCCATGACAAAGGACAAAACGTCAATCAAAACTGTCCCAGAGGTACAAACAACTTGGTTGGAAGCACCATACCCTTTAACGGTTTCATTTTCGTCGTGGGTATGCAATGCGGTACCAACCGCTGAGTCGCCATGATCATCAGCATGCGTATCAGGTTTATGGCAATGCCATAAATCCATCATTTCAGCCCAGTCCGTACTAGGTAGGTCTTTCCACGTAACCTTTCCTTTATCCGACGGAGTGAAAAGAGTGTTCTTGCACCGTTGGCATCGAACGCGGGATTCAGCGCACATATCCTTGGCCGTCCATGGAACCTGGACTTCATTGCTTCCATGGCCAGGCTGACCATTTGCCGGTTGGGAGGCTCCTGGGAGGCCCGCCTCAACATCGACTGGCAGTCGGAACAGCAGTTCGCCATGTCCAGCACCAGGAGGGTTTGGCGTCGGCTTTGTGGAGAGAATTGTGTGCGCTGATTCTGAAACGCATGCCGGCAGGGGTACTGTATGTACAGTGTGCGAGCTGTAGAGAGAAACAGCGTCGCGGGACGGCAAAAGAGAAAGGGAGAAATTGCCTCGGACAAGATCCCCTGGAGTATCGGATGTGATGGAACTCTGAGCTAAACGCGAGGAAGCGGGCAAAGACACATGCAATGTTATCTGACGGATATTTGGTAGCAATTCTGCATAGAGAAGCGGTCCAGATTCCGTTCTGGATGGCATAGTTGGATGCCCCCGGGAGAGGCGCGTGTGGGAAAAGCAAATTTTTGAAACTAGTTAATGGTTTGTGGACATTTTGGCGCAACTCTATGATCCTCCAGAGTTGTCTCACCAGGCTTGTGATGGATTGAAGATCTCATGCCAAGCAGTGCAAACAGTGCAAAATTTAGGTCGACTACATCCAAGACAATTTATATACATAACTCTGGAATGCACGTCGTGACAACTTTCTGACCAATTGCCCCTCAATCTTGAAAAGCCAAAGCCATTTGTGGTTCATCAACTTGAATGGAAGACACAGACAATTTGATAAGCTGAAGCCCATAGTAGTAAAATCGTTACCGTGCAGCTTAGGCTGCCTGGTCACCAAAACCTCCAAACCCCTTGAAATCGTCAACGAGCTTAACTGCGGCCTTAATATAGTATTCATCGCTATCGCCCCACGTCTTTGCAGCCTCCTTCAGTGCCCGAAGTGCCTTGATAAAATGAGTCTCTTCCGCCCACTTACCATTGATGGTCTGGCCACCGATCCAGTCCCAGTCCCGCCCCTTTACGTCATAGTATCGGATGGCGTCAGGCTCTATTTTGGGTCGTAACTGTGCGACGTAAACTCCCACGACGATCAGCCACCACTGGCGGACAAGAGATACGTGGAATCTGCTTGGGACGAAGGGTAATAGAATTCGTATTGCGTGGCTAGTGGTAAGTAGGTGGACGAGGAAAAAGTCGTGCTTTTCGGTGTCTGCGGCGACAAACATGGCCGCTGCGTCTTCTTGGGAAGCCTCAAGCTGTTTGATGGGGTCTGGGGTGATGGCCCACGCGCGCCAGTGTTCAAGAATTGCGTCCTCGTGATCTTTGAAGACGGTTTCAAGATTATCGCCGCCAGGCTCTTCGAAGAGGTTGTCGAAACGTTTGTCTGTCCGAATTTTATGTAATATCTCCAGGGATGAAGAGGTTTGGTATGGGTTAGGTGTTTCCAGGTAGGAATGGTCGTCAATATATTTGTGTAGATAGTTGTAACATGTTGCCGTCATTGCGAGACTCTCAATAGCTACCTCTCGACTCGACATTTCGTATGCATACCCCAAATGGATGAGCGGGTGTCCAACTGCTCAAGATTTCTAAGGTTAACCTACGATAAAATCATGCACAAATCATGTTACATCTACTTACGGCCTGCAACAACATTATTTATCAACGGTCTATCCCCAGAATAAAGATACATTTCAACAACCTTTTTCCAATCATAAGAGTGATGAACGAGCTCGTCCTCGAAAAAATCGAGATAGGCTCTCTGATATCTGTGGTAGTCAGTTTATACCCATCAACAGAAGGATGACCTAGAAAAGAAAAGAAAGAAGAAGGAGAGGAAGAAGGAAAAGGAAAAGGGCAACCCTATACACGTACTCTGGCTTCCCCAAATATTCCCTCCAGTCGTCTACCGCAATCTCCTCAGGAGAATCCCGCCAGGGCTCCAGCACCTTTTCCTCCATTTCATAAAGACGGCTCAAGTGGGTGGCATCGCTTCCAAACAAATACGCTGAAGACAGCAACTGGCAGTAAAATTAGCAATTAGAAATAGGTTCATAGAACCCAACACATGTCAATAAGCCTCCAGAGTATCTTACATGCGGCATATGATTATGGAAGCGGTCGTTATGGTATAGAATCGAATGATTGACATGGTTCAACTTCAGTAGATGTTTCAGCGCCCGAGCGGGCTTTTGCTTTGCCGTCTCGACATCGTGGATCTCGACGGAATGTATTTTAATGGCGTCGCCATCTGTGGAGGGGCAGGTGAAAAGATCTTGGAAAGAGGGGACTGAAAAAGAGAATTGCGAAAACATTGATGATAAATGACAGCTATAGCACGTCACATCCACTCTGTCTTTAAATGGGTCGCGTAATTTTTTAATCAATTGCCCACGTCGAAGGAGCTTGGAAAGTGAGGTTGAAGTTGGGTCCGGGACGGCTCACCAGCGTATAGTACCCGACTGGAATGAGTTGGGGCAATGCAGCTTTGAACTTACGTTCACCAACTTTAGCACAAGCAGGAATCACAGCAGAAAACATAAATAGAAAAGGCAAATAGGTGTTAACTATTTTGATATCCTGATCGGACCAGAAATTGCTTTCCCCAAGTTTTTGCTGATGATATCACTTGTTGAGAAGCTTGGAACAGGCTACTGGATCAAAAATTTTCCGCCCGAATGTCAGTGTCATGTAAAGTTACTATATCGACACTAATGTCAATGGAAAGATGTCTTCTAACCAATATATAATAACTGTGCCAAGCGCTACTCACTACCATTAGTGAGTGCGCCACAGCGTACGGAAAACCACACTGTATAGAAAATATTTTGAATATCATCATCTTCATTCTTAAATATTCATTAATCATCGCCATCATGCTTAAATCTTCCAATTACACTGAAGAGCAATTGCAAAATGCCATTGACATATTTAGAAAGAATTCAACATTAAAAATTACATCCCAGTCACAAGTATTCAAAGTTCCATATGCAACCTTGTATGGAAGGCTTAATGGCAAGAAATCGAGGACTACTAGGGTTCCACTCAATCAAGCATTGAATGACAGCCAGGAGGAGGTTATTAAGATGTGGATTCATCAGATAGATGTTAATTTTTGCCCATTCACAATCAAGCATATTGAAGCTGCTGTGAATTGGATTCTCAAGCAGCATCATATGGATTCTGAAACTCCTCTTCCCATCATAAGCAAAATGTGAGCATATCAATTTGTCAAACATCTGCTAAATGACTATGAAAGGGTAAAGCAGAAGCCAATGAATTTAAAATGAGTGTTTAATGAGAATATAAATTTCATCATCAACTGATTCAATCAATATAAATCTGTTCTCAATCAATATCATTTCTTCAGATGTGATATCTATAACTTTGATGAGATTGAATTTTAAAAGAGAGAAGAATGTGAACAGTGAGTTATAACTGTTTTTTAAGATGCAAATTCTGTCATACAATCTTCATATTCTTGCGGGTTAATAAACAATGGTGGAGTGTGTCAGTGTAAGGCGAAGCCGTACGAAGAAGCTCTTGGGCATGCTATTCTTATTCTTTTTCGTCGTAACTCTAAGATATGCTGTGCAAGCGGAAACAAGCAGGAGGTGAAGCCCTGTGCGTAGTCATGTGACTACGCGTATGATGGAGCGAAGGCGTGGCACTGCGTGTGGCAGGGCGTAGCAGTCAGTGCAGATAGCACAGTATTGAATCCATTGATTATAATGAAATTAAAAATCCATTTAAAAGATTTATATACACAATCAAATCTACTGAATAATTATGCTATAACCACATCTGACACTGGCTTCATCAATGATGAGATCATGTTTGAATGATTCAAACAGTTCAATGAGATTATAAAAAAATGTCAAATAAATAGTCATCAATTATTATTTCTTGACAATTATAAATCTCATCTTACAGATGAATTTCTTTGTTATTGCAATCTTCATAAAATCATTATATTTGAATTTTCATTTTATACAAATCATATTCTACAACCTTTTAATGGCATGTCTTTTCAACAATATAAGCATTATCATACAAAGGCAGTTAATGAGGCTGCCTGTTATGGATATGAGCAATATAGTGGGAGGCAATTTGCTACCGAGTCTCTAACTCAGCAAGCTTCTCACTGAATATAAGGTAAGGTCGGGGCTTATATCGGGTTGCTGAGCTTGTTCACTGAGTCAGGAGGTAGTGCCACTATCGCAGGTTAAGATATAACATCAAGAGGAATATCTAGGATGACTAGCAATAGCTACGGCGGCGGCCTAGGGTAAACAATATGAGTACCTAGTAGGGCTTACAGGTAGGGGGCGAGTGCTTAAGGTATGCGTCGTGAAGAAGTATACTTAAGGTGAGCTTATAGTCGTACCATGTAACTGAGTATAAGTAAAGGTGTAGTAGAAATAATAAAGAATAAAATTGATCGTGATCAAGAAGATAAGCTCCTTGATCCTAAGGGTAATGAGTGTGTTTAAATACATTTGAGTCCTCATACAAAATATCCTACCCACTCTGCTCACTTGCTCACTTTGCTCACCGGTGATCATGGTGAGCACTTATCTCAGTAAACTCAGCCACTCCACTCCGAGCTAACCCAATCCGAACTACTGCTACTTTCTGCCAAGTCCTGCTAACATCTGAGCCAATCAACTGTCACGGGGCTTACACTAAACCTAAATGGGACATCCCCAGCAAACTCTTCGCGGAGCGTCTGAGAAAAAACGGTTCCTGTTTGTTAGCAACACGGGAACGATTTGCTCCAACCATAATGTTTGAGATAGAATCACTGTGCAACATCACTCATAGATCATTTCTCTACCACCTTGGAGGGTTAATTTTTCAATTTCCTGTCGATTGATGTAATTTTTATCTGAAAATACATATATTCTGAGTATGAAGTGTCGCGTCGAAAACTGCTACTATGATTTTGAACACGGGAACGATTTGCTAATTTTTCAACCATGATCATGTCTAGTCATCCAACGCCTTGATCTTGCCATCAAAACATCTATCCAGCCATCAGAGACTCTAGTCAAAGCACCGAGTGTATTTTCCAGCGACTTCCGGCAACTTCCGGCAACTTCTGACAACTTCTGAACTCTTGGCAACCTCACGCGGCACATCAACTTCTGACAACATCTCTGAACTCCTGACAACTTCTGGGATCTTCCGACAACTTCTGAACCAATCACATAACACTTCTTTTTGACAGCTGGGTCGGACAACGTCCCATCAACTGCATCAAATATGGCCAATGGGGATCGAAGAAAACGCGCAAGTCAGCTACAACAGCGGCTTCAAAAGCCATCATTAAAGCAAATACTTTCAATGAACATTGAAGATATGCCACAACTTGTCATGAGCTATGCCGGACCAGATAGTATCGACAAGCAACAGGATGTTATTCAGTATTGTCTTCAACGAATACTTCAAGGCCCGCGTCCAGATCCTGAGTGTACTCTTCAGCCACGCATAGAACAAGTCCGTATACTTCGGCGCATGATATATGGATATAGCGACACTTTATTCATTGCCAGAACTGGCTATGGAAAGAGCCTTATTCTTCAATCCTATACAATTCTGACAGGAAAGATAACCATTCAACTGGTTCCTCTAAACAAGCTTGGTGATCAGCAAACAAGAGATATAGCACGGTTTCCCGGTGCCAATCCTTGTCTGGTCAGTGCTGATAATCTCCAGGGGCAAGAAGACTTACTCAAACGCATTCAACAAGGTGAGTATACACATATACTGCTCAGTCCAGAGCAAGCTCTTTGCAAGCGATTTCAGCATGTTCTTCAAGACCCTACTTTACAAGAAAAGATTGGGCTTGTAGCTATCGATGAGTGTCATCTTGTCACACAGTGGAGTCAATTCCGTAGTCAGTTTGCCAGGCTGGGGCACCTGAGATTGCTTCTTCGTGAGGATATTGTCTGGTTTGGCTGTTCCGCAACCCTCAGCAGTAAAGCTGAAGATATCATTCTTCAAGAGGCTGGATTTCGTTCTATTGGTGTAAACCCACGGCAGACTCAGGTTATTCGAACTTCCATTAACCGTCCTGATATCTTTATCGGCGTACATCCGATTCCACGCGGTAAACTTGTATCCTATGATATGTTATATTTTTTATTGAACGAGGCCATTGATACAGATGGAAAGATCATACCTCAACACATTTTAAAGACCATTGTCTTTATTGACAGTCATGTCAAGGTTCAACAAGCAGTGCAATATTTCCGATCAATACTTCTTCAGATCTGTCAGAATAACAGGCAGAATGTCAACAATACTGACACCTCTTTCATCAATGACACCATTCAGCATTTCACATCTCGAGTGTCTGAAGTGGATCAGAATATTCGCTTCGAGGAGTTCATGAAACCTAAGTCAATGGTATCCAGATCAGAATCGTGATTGAATTTTGCAAAGAAGGGAGTATTGATAAGGCATTTCAGCTCCTGTTTAAGCAAGACAGTATAACGTTGATTATCATTGAATACCCCTGCTTTGGAAAGTGCTGAATATAGTGCATTTCGCCGCTTCGTAGGAGTACTGTATCGTCGATGAGTCAAGATATCGGGACTCTGAATCCAAGCCTCTATAAAGGCCTCCATTCCCCAACTGTTTCGCTGTAATGTTCTGACAACGCGAGATAATTTTGACCGTCTTTTCTGCCGGTTATAAGGCATTGTAGGCAGGTGCTGTGGGCCACGGCGGTTTGATCGTGAACAAGCTCGCGGGGTATCGGTATCAGTATCGGTGATCTCGAATTCCGAAGGAGTATCAATAGATTCAAGCTCTGTTAAGTCACTGTCTGATGTGTCATATTCATCATCTACATTGTTGGGAGACTGTAGTGGTTGTAGAGAGGATTCATCTTCGAGTGATGAAGGATATTGGCTGGAGCGCGTCTGACATTGGGTGTCTTGAGATTCAAAAGACACGCTGTCTTTTGTCAACGATTGTGACATGATGAGAAGGGGTAGTGAGTTGTAAAATAGCAGAGATGATAGCAGAATGGCTGAGGATTTGAAAAATATCGGTTTGGTGATGATCAGGCAGATATTTAGGGTAGATGTATGATTTCGAAGTCAATCGAATATTTTGTATGGGCGGTGTTGATTTTCCACACACGATGGAACCGTTTCTTCTCAGACTCTCTACGAGATATTAGGTTGCGAGCACGTGTGAAGTCTCTTATTGGTCCAGAAGTTAGTAGGACTTGGCAGAAGTCTAAAGGAGTTTAGTTGGTCGCGCTAATCCGAAAATATCGAGAAGAGAGGCTGAGCATGCTGAGATAAGTGAGCACGGTGATCAGGGTGAGCAGTCACGTGACCTCATACTAGTCTCGGTCGAGGATTTATTCCGTCCCTGCGTTCCTTCGGTTCTTATCCAATAAGCCCCGTCCGTGCCACAGGTTCATAACACAATTCCTTGCCAATTTGAAAAGTGTCTGACTGCAAGTGTTCAAACCTGCCACAGTTAGAGCTGGCTTCACAGACCATGAAATCTACCCACTTAATCAAGATAATATATTTGACTGATTGAAACCTTTTACTCTTGATAATAGCTTAGATCTTGTTATTTATAATGATGATGATAATGAATGCTCTCAATTAACTCCACCTCCCACAAATCAACTGTCAATTGCATCTTCACAATTGACATCTCCAGATACAGTTGCAAAACTACATCATCAAATTGAAGCAGCAGAGAAGGTTTTACAAAATGTGAAGAATACTCTTACATCTGAATTAATTAAGCAGTTGAATAAGATTTTCAAAAGTAGTATGGTTCAGATGGAATTGAATATGCACTGAGAGGGTGAACTGACTACTCATTACCACACAAATAGATGTCAGATTGTCAAATCCTCCCACAGACAAATGCAAGTAGAAGGAGTTCTCACTATAAAGAATGCAAATCACAAAATTGCAACATATAAAGCTGATGAATTGAAAAAAGAGTTCAATAAAACTCTTCAGACAGTTGGGATCAAGCTCATAAAATTAACTGTCATTCAATCACAACAAGATAAATCTACTGAATTTCAATCTACAGTGGATTCTACACCTTCTAACAAGCATATAGATGATCTTTATATTATAGATAGACTGGGTGGTGGTTATTAATTAATTTTTGAAGATTGCTATATTCATAATATTTTCTGTACAGTGTGGTTTTCCGTACGCTGTGGCGCACTCACTAATGGTAGTAAGTAGCGCTTGGCACAGTTAGTGCGAGACATTACTTGTGATAGCGTCCTTTGTACACAATTCTCAAATTAATAATATGGAAAATACGAGTTTGTATGGTAGAACGTCTACAGACGGGCCTGAGCGAGCTCTCCACGCCTTCCTACTAGCGATAGTAGTTAACAGACTCTTATATGATGCTTTGGATGACAGCAGAAAATAGCTGAGAGACAGAGGATAAATAAATAAACAAAAAAGTAAAAATAAAAATAAAAATTTGACAGTTTCTCAAAAGTTTAGCATAGTCAGTTTGGAGTAGATAGATGATTTTGTAAATACATAGTTACTAGTAAATTGTAATTGGTAATTAACTGATTGATGAGCCTTTCATTGCAAGTGTGAGGTGAAGCAATGGAATGAGTGGCATTGTTGAGTTCTTAGGGATGGATGCTTCAATAATATCCAACGTATAGAATATGGAATACTCCCTACAACTTTGGACAATTGATTAACCATCAGTTACAGGGCAATAATTATCAGTTCACTCTGCTTTTCTCTCATCGGTCTGTGTCAAACGGCAGCACTTTAATTGAGCAATGTTCTTCACATCTAATCGTGCCGCGCGCACCCACACCTGATGTGGGTGCGCCACACCATAACGATAAAAACAGCGTAATGATAAAAATATGAATAATATGAACTTCAAAAATCAATATCTCAACACTGTGTAGCTAATCTATAATAATTAATTTATCTATATTATCTGTAATAGCAGTATTATTCACTAGATGTTTATATATATCATTAACCTCTTGTTGAGTTGGTTCTGTGGCATTTTTTTTCAAATCTTTCCCAACATGTTTGACTTTCTTATAACATTGTTTTTCAGCTTTCTTTTTCTTATGTTGTGCAATCTTTCTATTTGCATTTCTCACAATGAGTATACCTTCTACTTGAACCTGCTGATGTGTATTTTTGATGCTACAGTGTTTGACTGCAAGGTAGTAACCCTTAATTTCACACTCTTTTATAGCATTGAGTTTCATCTGTATGAGACTGCCTTGGAAAATCTTGTGCAATTGATTGTTCAGATGAGATGATTTGAAATTGAATATATCTTTCATATCTTACATTATTTTCTTTGCTACTTAAATATGATGTTGTAGCTCCTCAATTATCTTTGGAGAGAATAATTATGAAGAGGCAATAATTGAGCAGCTTGATTGAAGAGAAAAAAAGTCATTTCCCTCATATATTCACAGCTCAGAGCAGTCAGAGATCTTAGAATCTAATTTATCAAATATAAATTGCAGATTGAAAGAAATGATGCCACAATCTGCAAAATCAACTCAAATAATAAAGGGTTGAAAGTTCTTTTTGCAGATGTCAACTAGATTCTGTAGGAACTGATGTTTTTCATATTGCTCATATTCATATCAAACAGTTTGATTAACTGTCTTTGGATGGTAATGTTTATACTGATGAAATGACACCCCATTTAGCGGTTGTAGTATATGAGTTGAATGTGAAGGAAATTCATATAGAATAATCTTGTGAATATTGCAGTATTGCAGAAATTCTTCAGTGAGATGAGATTTATGATTGTCAAGAAACAGCAATTAATGACTGTTTTGTTGACATTTTTTAATAACTTTATTAAAATACTGAATTCAAGCAAAGTCAATCTCATCATTGATATAGCCAGTATATGACACCACAATCATATATCCACTCCGTAGATTGCTTTGTATATATCAATCTTTAAAATGAGTTTTGAATTTTATGATGATGAAGAGATTCAATACCTCACCATCTGCTGAAATACACTCAATCATGATGATCAATTCTCAAGAATATGATGAAGTTATAACTGAATTCAAGTCTTTAAAAGCAGTAATAATCTATTCTCCACATCCTTGATCTTCTTGAACGCCAATCTCATCAAAGTTGTAGATATCACAGGTTTGAAATGTGTACTTTTGAAGTAAGTAAGATTTTCAGATGATCAAATCACATTTTGATGTAGTTAATAATCTCTACAGCAATTCTTTTCAGATTCATTGCCTTCTGCTTCACTTTTTTATACCCATTCAAGCTTTTTATATATCGATAGATCCACATCTTGCTGACCACAGATGGAGAGATTGAAGAATCAATATGATGACATTTGAAAATAAGATTCACATTATCTTGAATCTGCTCTGCAGTCAGTAGGCAATTATTTCTGTTCATATGAGCTATCCACTCTTTTAATGTGTCCTTCTGACTCTTGCTAAGCTTCTTGTTCGGTGCAATCTTTACATTGTGTGTTTTCCTTCCATTGATTCTCACTTGAAGATGTTGATAAGGAATGTTGAATTTGCATGCCAGAGGTAGGATTTTTTGTTTTTGATTGCCATTATAGACTTCAATGGCATTCTGAATACATTTTTCAATATCATCCATCTTATTGATCATGGTGGTGATGATATATTAATATTTGAAGATTGATTAATGAAGAAGTTGATATTTTTATCGTTACGCTGTTTTTATCGTTACGGTGTGGCGCACCCACATCAGGTGTGGGTGCGCGCGGCACGATTAGTTCATCCAGTTCATCCATCACCTTCAATGTAATCTGTACTTGACACTTAACTAATAGTACTTACCTCCCCGCGAACGATAAAACGGGAACTGGAATGCCATGCATCATAAGTTGCCCTGGCACTTCGTTAACGGAAGCGACATGTTTTGGTTGGATCGGTGTCAATGCTTTGGTTTGGCCAGAGACAGGTACGAGAAACTCATGGCAAGATCTCCGGCACTACGATGAAAGTAGCTTCTCACTGACGACAGCTCGGCCGGAAATGCTGTGAAGCTTGGGAGATTACAGGGAGAGAGGTCTAGTCCCCCCACCCCTTGTCACCATTATCGTGCCCTAGGGACCACCATGAGGAGAATTGCCGGGAACAGTGAATCAAAACAAGACGAATTTTTACCACCTCACCAAAAAGGCTCAATCCTTAACGTGGGCAACCTGTAATCTGTACTTTTTGCTAGTATGACATAGGCAGACAGCTGCCAGTCCGAAACCATGCTTCCCAAAGGTGGAATCACTGGACGGGATCCTCACCTACCTTCAGCTTTGCCTGCTCAATTGGTGGAGTTTTGGTAGACGCAGACCTTTCTCTTTCCGTATAGATCTATTTCTCGAACCAGTCAGGCCTTCCCGTAATTCGAGGATTTGCAGTGGAAAAACGAACATCTGTGTAATGAAGTGCCATTGTGGACCTGAAAAGTCCTCGAAAGTGTTTCTCCTCTCGGCCAGAGATTCCATGCTGGCCCTGGCTTGGCGGAGTTGATATACGAGGCTTCGCTTTAGATCTTTCTCATATGTGGCAACTAACTAATTGAGTCTAATTGTTCAGGTTTGGACCATTCCCGCAGGCCTGCATGTGCCGCCATGTTCCTTGGAGGATCCTATCGCATGCCAAGACGTGTGCGGATTGCACAGTGGCTCAGCTTTGAACATTTCAACGGCTAAGGAGGAACCATGGATAATTCTCTCAACAATGGATACTTAATTTCATCCTCTATGCAGTTCGCACAAGTTCTCGCCAATGATATGCCTCATGTCATCCAAGACGGTGTCTCCGACGGCTGGCCGTGGGAAATGCCACTAGCAAATACGTAAAGAGATCCGCTATCACGAGCTATATCCATTAGGTCTCGAGCGGGGAAATTACTCAAGGGAACAGAACCCTCTAGAGATTTCAATGCTGGCTGATAGAGACTGGGCACCGTGGATCAACCCTGTAATGCAGCTACCTGTGGAATTTTTGAGCCTCAAGGCCTCGGATTTTGTTTGATTTATGGCCTCATGAATAAAGCAGGGCGGGCGCAGTTGTTGTTCATGGAGTGGTCACATTTGGCGATTGTCCGGCAAGCCTTGCCTGTTCAATTTCACCTCCAAAATCTCTCTAGAAGTTCTCACAGTTCCTGGGATCGGTACAAGAGTGTGCGACATTAGAACCGCGCATTGCCCGGACCCTAATTGTTGAGCCTGTCACTTATCCCGGCCCATCTTCCTCTAATTCGGCCCGGCTCGGACCCCGGTCTTCAGCTTCTTCAGCAAAACGAAAACGGAACAAATGAAGCATCCCGTGTTTTGCCACTATACAATGAGCGAGTATCTTGACCCATTGCTGAAAATAACAATACGAATTCCACTTTACCTGTTCATCTCCTTGGCCTGAGTTCTTAGGTAGCAGTGGGCTGATCTACCATGTTCCATTGCCTCACACTGGTCGTTTTGACCCGTCCGAGTCGGATGCCATATGCATGATTTCTGAAATTCTTCGCTGCCCTGCTTAATGAGATGCAGCATATCTCAGTCGCTCCCTTTACAGAATATGAATCCTCCCGTCTGAGCAGCCCCTGTTTCATTATTCCAACCGAGCTACCATACGGCACGGACGTTACATGGACCAATTGCACTACGTTGTCATGCTTCCGTCGGAGAAGTACCGCTACGATTCCATAAGGTTGTTAAAATTTCCCCGTATTTCAATATCAAAAATGCATGACATTGTGCTGGCTCAAGCGTCTATTTCTGATGAATCACCGGTGTCCTTGCCAAATTTGTTTGTTTGTATGGCTTCACATACGAGGATGTCAGGGTTTACACACCCCCGCTTGTTGCCTGCAATTTAGATATCCACTCGGAATCCCAGAGCTCTTCATTTGTGGCGCACAAACTCTGGGGACTTACTCCCGTCTTCCGCAACAGCTACATCCGTGAAACGGTGGAATTGAGTAACGGGATTGTTGGGTGTATGGCTAATAGGCCCACAAACAGGCGCTCAAAGTCCTATTGAAGCAGCCAGAATAGCTAAGCCTATTAATCCAGAGTTGTCACATCACCACGACTGAACCCCATCCTAAACGTTCGCAAGCCCAGATGATTTCCAATGGGCAGGGATCCGTATTCTACGCTATCAGGGATAACCCCCCATCAGCAATTATTTCTCCATTCCTCTGGGTTTGTGGTGATCCGAACCCGTTTCCATCTCTCTGCAAAGTGGATATGCGGCTCCGATGCACTATTCCCTTGATACCAAAATCTGGTCCCGAGCTTTTAGCCCCCTGGGTGTGATCTTTTGTTTTTCAACTGTTCTCAAACTTTTTGATTATTCAGGGGTGCATTGGATAATGAGTGCTTTCAAGATACCAAATCCCCGTATGGGGTTTCATGCATCTGTAACCCAATATCTGGTATGCTATCACATAGATGCCTGCATGGAAATCGCCCCCACCTCTTTGGACAGCACGGTGAAGCATTGAGATGAGTTCCCGATGAGGTGATAACGGAATGCAACAATAATATCTCCCGTTCTCATATAACAGATCCTCTAATAGCCGGCAATCATCAATGGTGAGAATTAGTATGAGCCCCCCAAGCATAAGAGCCCCAAATTCCGCCTCTTGGATTCGCTTGTCCGTCTGGAAACCCTTCCTCTCACGTTCTCACTGCCGAGAAGAGATATATCTAGTCATTCGTTGACATTGTCATACCCTTAAAGTTGTTTCGACTGCCAGGGAATCATGGCTCGATTCCCGCACATTATTGCTACGTTATGGCTGCTGGTGCAGCTTGTGGCTGCAATTTCCAGGCCGGAGTTGCAGCCTCTTCCTCGCTATCTATGGGACGGAACGTCAGAGCCACAGCTCTCGGAAAGAGCAGTCAATCAAGCTGCCGCTGAAGAAGCCATAAAGCCTGTTGACAAGGAGGAATTCTTTTGGGCTTCAACTGATAGTAGGTTTCTCTCTTTGAATTCTTTTTACTATGCTCTGCTAATTCATCGGTGAAGAACCGGGATCCAAGGCCGTAGTCGTCAGCATGGTGTCTTGGTCCAAGGCAACTGAGCGGATCATTTCTTTGGATAAGATTGACTTTCTAATTCGGTCAGCGAGCTGCAATTCCAAGGACATGTCTTTCAATTTTATTCACCCCTTTGTCTATTCTGCCATCAAGATTTATTGGGACTGGGTTAACTTCAACGATATGAATACTTTCGTTGTAATCCCTAACTCCAAGAAATGCGGAAAGGACAGAGAACAACAACCCTGGGTTGCACGCCGTGTTATATTTGACGACAAAAACCAAAGGGTTCGTCTGGAAGCTACTAAGAGCACATGGAAAAAGGTTATGCAAACCTATACCTTGGATTTTGGTGAAGTCATTCTTGGGTCGAAAGGTCTTGTCAAACGCGATATAATTCCAGATCTCGACGAGAAATTCAGGCTCGGTATTGGAGTGACGCTGCCAACCAGAATTTTTGGTTGGGAGGTCAACAAAGGGCCCCTTAAAGGTAACCTTACCGCCAACTGCAATGATTGCGGTACCCAAGGCGCTTTAGTCTTTGCTGGTCATGTTGAAGCAAGCCTCGGCTGGGGCGGCTTTGATATAGACAAGTTTGAAATTTCCGTCAAACCTGAGGGAGTTGCAGTAAACGTTGAGCTGGAGTTGCTGTTTGACGCTCATCTCGATTTCCGCCGTTTCGTCAAACCTTCTCAGGAAATAAATTTGGTTGAAATTCCTATCTCAGGATGGAACATACCTGGTATCTTTGAGTTTGGTCCACGAATTCAACTTAATGCGGGATATGAAATTAGCTATATCTCAGGAACGGCTTCCGCAACAGCTGGAATTAGTGCCCGTATTCCAGATAGCGCTATCGCAAAATTAGATCTTTTAGCTGAGGATTCTGTGGAGGTTTCTGGATGGGCTCCGGTGATTGAAACACAACCTCTTCGAGTACAAGCTCAAGTTGACGCGGAGGCATCGGTTTACACTGAGGTCGCATTATCAGTTAGCGTCACAGTTTTTGGTGAGATCCCATCGTTGCCATCTGAGACCAATCTGAACTGACAACAGCTGTAAAGATGACAACGGATTTGGAGTGGATCTTGCACTCAAAGTTCCGCAGGTGACAGCCAAATTGGGCGCAGGTTTCGGTAATTCCCCCCTTTTCACTGCGATAGGCCTGATTTTACTGATATGCGTCCAAGATACCGCTGGTTTCTGCCCCAACGAGGCGAATATCTTTGGAATCAAACTTGATGTTATGGTAGGTGTTGATCTAGATCTGGAAGGCTGGGAAGAAATCGATGGTCATAGGAAAACTCTCTTCGATGTGGACATCTATGAGAAACCAGATATTTTTATCTTCCCGCAAGTATGTCTCGGCTTCGATGATGTAGCCCCAGGGTATTGCCTCGGTGGGAAGAAGGAAGAGGACGACGAGGACGATGACGATGACCCGGGTCATTATGTCCGCGGACGCAGAGCACGGATTCCCCGGACACTGTCTCCTGCGCTATCTCCACGTCAAGATCCAGACACAGGAAGAGCGCCCATTCCGTTGAAGTGCGATAAGAAGAAGGCTCTCCAAATTCTAAAATATCCAAGTCCAATAGAACTAGCAAAGAATACCGCAGTACCGATTTTTGTACCAAACATTCCCTGCGGTGAAGCTTCAGAAGACTGCTGGCCAAATGCCAATATCAGTGTGATAACTGAACCTCTCGAACAACGGGCCATCGTGGACCAGACTGGTCTACTTGACCAGGAGAAATGGGCCTGTAAGTCGCAGCCGCCATGATCTCTTTTTTCAACATACTTGAAGAGTTGTGCCAGCTAACGTACTACAATACAGCTGAACATGTGTATGAGGCCAACTGGGTCCGGGATTACTTGGACTTTCTCCAAAAGAAATTAGCCGGCTCCGCGGACAAGCCTTGTCATCCTGCTATTTTGAGATTTTGGGATAAGCTGAATCCAACTTACCCGGCTCCAGGGGGCGCACCCGCGAAAGAATCATATGTGGAAGCATTGGCGCAACATTTAGGCACTGTGAACACTGCATACGAACCTCGCATGGCCATTATTCAGCAGAGATTGAACAATCTGAAATACCTGGTGAGCAAAAAACTTGACGGATTTTTCAACGTGGGGAAAATAATTCAAGGAACTGACTGACTTTCTTGTAGATGTTTGCGAAGAAAACCCTTATCGCAGGCCGCGACGGTGTGGAAGGTCGAAGAAAAGTAATCAACAGCCACGGCAGATTTGTATGTGAGCTAGCGCGCATTTCCGCAACGTGCAAATACTACGCGCATCCAGCTGCCCAAGAGGCTTTGAAAAAATCCATCCTAGGGATTGAAGAAGTGCTGTAAGTAACATTCCCCCGCACCCTATCCTCCTCCCGTTCATGTAAACGGTTTCATACTCACTCTTTAAATTAGGGGAATTGCGGACAAGGATGCGAAGATGAAGGAATCCGGTACCTCCTTCCAACAGGTCCATAAGGACTTTTATGATGAGTTCCACGATGCTGCTATTGAGTGGACTCGGAGCCAACTGCAGGATTACGCCAAGTTTTTGTTGCAATACCCTGACGAGGTGGATGAATTGCCACCTGGATTTAAGGAGGAGCTTGAGCGGATCCGGGACGATGGGGAATATCGAAAGGAACTGTGTCCTCACACTAAACGCACTGGTTGGTGATTTGCGTTTGTCAGGCTGGCTAGATGCCAGGCACATACATTCATTAGTAGGAAGAAACTACATATATATAAATATATTGCCCGTATGTGTGGAGTAAGTTAGGAAGCAATGCAAGCATACTTATCTCAATGCAATTATTTAAATATTAAGTATCTGGGTCGCACCAACTGTAGACCTGTAGACGTGCGAAATGTCAAAGAAACAGAAATAGACACAGAAACAAAAACCGAAACAAAAAAAAAATGAAAATTTAATACGGTGGAAGATTTGGTGAAGTTTCCGATAATTTTGAGGGCTGATAGCTCCTTAAAGGCAAACCAGGTGTATATTACTCGGAGGAAGTGTTTTAAATATTGCGTGGCGAGGTCTGAGAACGCAGAGGAAAAATCGTTTGGGGGATACGTGGAAGGGGGGAGGTTGTATGATGATTATATGCCTTGGAAGACCAGTGTCAGGGAATAGGTAGTAGTATGCCAAAACTCCATCAAGATTGGCTTGTTAAACGGTTGAATCCTTTGCCATTTGAAAAAGAGTGGGAGAGTGGGTGCTGTGGTGGTCAGCAGAATGATGTAAACGGTTGAACGAGACTGCAACAGGGCGGCTATAGTTGTAATACGGTCGTCGGAATAGGGGTACCTCACCGCCGGAGCAGTGAACTTCTGTGGGAAGCTGAGCTCAACTACAGATCCATATAATAGATTAGACCCTAAGGATTCTTAATTTTTGAAGGAGCTACCAGTTTCCCCAGGAGAACACCAGGGCGGCCCAGCAGGAACGCCAATACAGAGGAAATTAATTGTATAACAAATGGCCTCAACAATATGCTCTCCAACACATGTCGGTACACCATAACCAAAAGGCAATATCGGTACATACATAGATATATTTGTACAGTACAATAATAGATTAGCGAGTACAACACCCCGGTCTCACAACCTCAAGGGTAACAAAGGTCATGATCGTTTATCATTCCGGACCAAGTGGTCGGTCCGAATTACATATTCGTCCTCGTCCTCTTTCCCCTCATTCTCTGCTTCATCACCCTTGACTGTCATTATCGAGTCACAGACAACAGCATCTTTGGCATTCACCTTCCCTTTCCATCCGCGCGCAGCTACCCCATTCGAATTGGTTACATTATCATCACCAACGGGACTGCTCATAGCGTCCTCCTCAGACTCCGAGTATTGATCAGGGGAGGATGACAATATGGTGCCTTTCACCTTCGCACCGCTGATACTGGTTTTGCCCTTTCCCCGTGAGATCTTCCTATGTCCGTGCTTGGCTCGATGAGGCAACGTCGATGGAGCCGTAGTTTTGTTGTCGTTCGTAGTGTTTGTTGGTGCGATTGATAGAGTGTCTTCTGGAGATGTACCGGACTTAAGCCCATTGGCCGCTTCGCCAATTGTTAAAGGGGCGCGAGAGGGCGTTTCTGGGCTAGCCAATATGTTTGGCTTTGGTTTCTTTGCATCGTCAACCGATTCAAAGGTTCGGCGAACTCGTTCGAAATGTTCAAGTTCTTTAGCGCTGTTGTTAGGGTTATTGTAGTTAACGTCTCTGTACCAAAAATGGAGTTGGGGAAGGGGAAAAAGGGGGGTGGTGGTGGTGATGGGATGTGAAATACCTGACGCTAGCAACGAGTTCAGCCTTCGCCGAAATAAAGTCTCGTTCCGTTACCCATGACGGCTATATCTTAAGGTGTTGCCAAATGATCGAAGAAATAAGCCGTCGTGACTGGACCGCCGGGTAACGCTTTTTATTTTCTCATCCACAGCAGTAGCTTGGCGTGTGATGGCCTTAAGCATGGCATCCGAGCACAATGCGTACAGATCAGCACCTGTGTAAGTAAAAGGTAGTTGTTCAGCAATCCGCCGCAGCGAAAGGTCTGGATGTAGGTTGAATTTCCGTGTGAGGGCTTCTAAAATAGTAACTTGTTTCTCATGAGTATCCGACACACCGAGGTACAGCATTTTATCGAACCGACCAGGCCTGAGGAGTGCAGCATCCAGGAGATCGGGCCGATTAGTAGCGCCAATTACGAAAACGCCTCCGCCATTCTCGTCTCCAGCGCTCATCCCGTCCAGTTCGGCGAGGAGCTGGGAAACAATACGATCCATGACACCACCGCTGTCGCCTTGGTTTCCACGTTTCGGTGCGACTGAGTCCAGCTCATCAAAGAATACCACGCAAGGTCTCGCATCACGGGCGCGCTGGAAGACACGCCGAACGTTTGCTTCAGACTCTCCGATATACATATTAAGCAGTTCGGGACCCTTGACGGAGAAAAAGTTGAGGGAGAATTCGGTAGCGATAGCTTTGGCGAGAAGAGTCTTTCCGGTTCCAGGGGGTCCGTAAAACAAGATTCCGCTTCTCTTTTTCATTCCTTTTGCAAAAAGCTCTGGTCGTTCGAGCGGGAGTTGAATGGTCTCCATAACGGCATCCTTGACATTTGTAAGGCCTCCGACATCATCCCAGCTGACGTTAGGAATCTTTGGTGCACCAATCGCATCCGCAAAATTCTTTCTAGCGGCATCTACGGCGGCATCGAAGTCCTCTTTTGTCACACATCGAGATGCATCTCCTCCTGCAGTTTGGACGTCTCGCACAGTGACCTTTAAGCTTTCATCAAAGGTCGTAGCATTCTCTGCTAACTTCTGAAGACGAAGAGATTTAGCAGCGACTGCACGCTCAACAACATCGACTAGATCTCCCGCAACGAGAGCGGCGGTTTTTACTGCAACAGAGGCCAAATCAACGTCAGCCGAAATTTTGATTCCTTGGTCATGGATCACGTTGCGTAGGATACCCTCTCTTTCCTTTTCGTCTGGAGCCGTCATTTCAAATTCATGGGTGAAAAGACTTCGGATGCCCTCCGGAACTTTCTCAATGTCCGTGGTCGTGGCGATGATAACTCTGGCGTCTGCGACGATATCCTTCATTGCTGTAACCATTCTATCAGCTGTTAAGACATCGATATGCTGTATTAGCAAGGCAGTGCATTGTGCTCCGCATGTGAATGCACGATCCGCCCTAGCTTTGAGAAAAGCTTCCGTCTTCACATCCCCTCCATTGGCTCCCCCTTCGGCAAGAATATCGTAGGAATCGATTGCAAATGTATGAAGACCAACCTCGGCACAAGCACGATATGCAACCGTCGATTTCCCGATGGCCCGCTGAGTAGACGTAAGCAGGACAACGACAGGCTTCATGCCGAGCTGGATCGCCCTGGGGCTTGTCGATGTAGAAATGAGATCCAGAAGACGTTTCTGTACTGAAGGAGCGAATATTTTAGGCTTCGCTGAGAGGAAGAGATGTGGCTTTCCTGTCTCGTTGTTCGGTTTCGGCAGTGGCTTCACACCAAACCAATACTCCCATCCATTATGTAGTGTTCCAGGTACGGGACTTATCTCACTCCCTGCCTGCACCATTCTTGTTGAAGAAGTGTCAATGACCGCCACTCGGCCCCAACGTTCATCATCAGAACTGTTTTCTAACCCCTCTACATGGGCAGGGACAACTTGACTAACACGAAACCATGCAACCCCCACTTTTCTCAACACATTTTGTGACCTCGATTGAGTATCCGGAGACAGCCCAAGTTGAGCGGCCAAATCTTCGTCTTCACCAACATCAGGACTCTTGGTAGAAGAGTATATTGTTTTCCCTAACTCCTCATCAACGCTTATGCCAATGAGGTCGCCACTCTTAACTAATCGTTGTTTAGATTCAAAATAACGTTTTAATCCGGCAAATAGAGCGGGCTGGAGAGACCTATCCATAGAAAGGGGAGTAGAAATTTTCAGTAGTGTAACTTCCTTCGCAACAGGAGGCATCTTGAGTGAACTCGATTTCAGTTGTACCCCAGGTCTGGAGCTCGCTTGTTGAGACCCATGAACCGATATCGGGGAAAGCTTTAAGTACTTAGGATTTCCTAGATTGTTTAACAATATGGGCGGCACTAGCGCTGTAGGGGTAAACCGATGTGATGGCAGCTGCGATATGGTAGGTCTCCTGGTAGAGGAGGGATTCATCGAATATCGAGGTTTTGGAGATATCAACCCTGGAAGGCCATAAACCTTTACAGCTCTCCAGGTTATATCATCAACGGCATTATCCGTAAGCCCGCTTAGGCTATCAAACTTTAGAGAAGACAACATGTTGAGCTGAGGTTCCTCAGCAGCTTCGATTCTCACCCAGTCTCCTGAGAAGCAACCGATTTTGGCAAGGGTGTGAATATCCACATACACAAAGGAGTCTGAATCTTCAAACTCTCGTGGTTTAGGATGTAGGATCTCATTAGGTATTCTCGCCAACAGGCCTTCGGCTCGGAATGTCTTCCCAGCACTTCTTCCTGCGCGCGTAGTAGCATTCGTGAAGCTCGAGAGCATGGACCCTGGTGTATGAATATCGAACCTCTTGCCACCAGGGCGTGGGGTCATAGATGTCATTGCGGACATTGTTCCGGAAGGTTGCTGAAGGAGCTCCGGGGCCGTTAATGAGATCATATCATCCAAGGAGTCATCAGAAGCATCACTATAACTTTTGGCTGAAACTTCTGTATCGGATTCGTCAGGTGGTGATGCACTTTCCATACTTGTGCTGTTCGACTTCTCTTCCGCAGCTGAATAAAACTGCTCGTTCGAGGTATCATCACATTCGTCTTCGACCACCTCTTTTAATAACGTTTGGCCTGGAGATGGAAGAACCTTGGATATTCGAGATTGGTGACGAGATTTGGTTTCGACAAGCACAATTCGAGTAGTTGGTTTAACTAAGCCTTGAGACACCGGCTCACAGAAGGAAATTTTGGCCGGCGGGGGGGTAGCATGAGTGATAGGATGTGAAGGTAGCGGCAGAGGTAACAAGTCCCCCGCATGCAATACCCTCTGTGTGGAAATTGCCTCGCGTATAACCGCAATTAATCGCTCCTCCCTTCCAGCAGCAGTCTCTTTCCTCTCTTCGGAATGCTCTGTTTTGAATTTCTCTGAGCCCCGTCTCTTGGCCCAGAGGCCACTGCTCCCCTGTGCTCCGGGGCCGAAGCCCCCACCAAACTTATTTTGAATATCATCCACCGTACTGAGCAGATGGCGTTCAACCGTCACATACACAGTATCCAGATACAGCGGGACCACGGCTAGCACATGAATTTCGATTTCTCGTTGGCTCGATATCGAATTTCGAGTCGGGTCAAACATCTCGAACGCTTGAACAAATGACTGTATTGAGCCGCTAGATGCTGGGAAATTGACAGTCGAAGGAGATAGTGGCGAGGATTGCGATTTAGTGGCCGATTGGAGGCGCATAGGGATAATGGTCCACTGCACGTCGTCCACAAGGAGATTATGCGGCGACCATGGAGATATGGCAATATACCGCACTTCCTGTGATTCTGCTAGAGCTGCGGCACGTTAGTATAAGAAATCCATGCTACATTACGGGGGGATTTCGGGCGCAAAGCGCTTTGCTCCAAGTGTTTTGTGAAGCACGAGAAAACGTAGACACACACAACACACACACACACACACACACCTTGGGCACTCGACCCCGGAAACAAATCTACTGCTAAATCATCAGACAGGATTCCAACATCTCCTTGTATATGATGATCAAGCACTAGTCTGGCAGATACAGGGTTCCTGTTATTCACTCGTCGTCGTCGAGGATCCCTCCGCCGACGCTTGACGTGAGCAGTATCATGCGAAACGGACGCCATAGCATCGCTAGTATCGTCTCCCTCACATATGTTGAAAAGGATACCCGTAATTCAAAAAGGCGAACGCAGATGATCATAGTTGGTGCGACGAACACAGTTAGGCCCTACATGAAGGAGACGCAGAGCGTTGGTGTTTTCCGAACGACAGGATTGTGTCAGCGAACGTGATGGTGATCGAAAAAGCGAACCTCTTGCTCCCGATGCCGAGGTTCAGCATGACCGAAATATTGTGGCGGACGTAAAGCTTGCGAAAACAGAATTTTCTGCCACCCCCTGAAAAATAGTAGAACAACACCGCAAAAATAATCAAAATATCCACATATCTCTAGAATCATTCAAATATCATTCAATTCATTCAAATACACACCTTTATCATCAAATACGCATCTTTATCATCAAATCTGCCAATATGCCCCGCAACACCCACCGTTCTACTGCCTCGCAAGCTCGTAAAAGGACTCCAACTACCCTGCGCCTTCGTCTGTCCAAACCGCCTGTTCCGGATGTTCCGGATAATGACGAGAATCCAACTGATGATGAGAAGGAGGATAAGGAGGAGGAGGAGGAGGAGGAGGAGGAGGAGGAGGAGGAGGAGACACAGTCAGAAGATCCTCGATTTCTGCGAACACCTACCCCTGAGCCTGAGATCTCATTCAGCTGTATGAACGGGTGATTATCAATGGGATAAAGGAGCCTATAAAGATCAAGTTACGGAATGTCACAACAAATGATATGACTGTCAGCTTCTATCGTATCCAATATCTCCCTCAACTCCTTCTTCATCTAATATTGTGTCTCCAAGTGAGATAATCAATGTGATGGTGATGAAATATATGATGGAAGGAATGGGAGGCATGGGAGGACTGAATTCAAACTTGTCATCGAATTCAAACTTGCCATCAAATTCAAACTTGCCATCGAATCCGAACCTGCCATCGAATCCGAACCTGCCATCGAATCCGAACCTGCCATTGAATCCGAACCTGCCATCGAATCCGAACCTGCCTCCTATTCGAAGTAGTCCAATCCCTCAGTTTGGTGAACACGCGGATCTGTTTATTGATGAGTTCTTCAACTGGTTGATGACAGAGAGACCTCGAAGAGCAGAAGCTCTTTTAACTGCAAAGAGCATTATTCAGAATGAAGGATTTGAACTGGATCATATACGGACAATGACAAATGAGCAGGTGGTTTAGTTGAATATTGGAATGGGTATATTCTCGATAATAAGAAATGGGTTAAAGAGTTCTATCTGGCAGTCACAGTTGAAGGAGATTAAATTGTCTTTATCTGCTGTTTGTAATGATGACAGCAGACTTCATACTGCTTCTGCTTCTGAATTTGAAACTTAGATATTATATATCATCATAATTGAATTGTAATCTGAATCTTTTTAAATTTTACAATACTATCCTATATGAGCCGATCTGAAATATCCTCTTGCATCTTCTTCTCCCATGAAATTCTCAACTGCATGATGCAAGAAGGCTTCAAAATCTCCATCAAACTGATTCTCTAACTGACATCTGTATCTTCTAATCCATTCTTTCAACGCGTGAAATGACTCCTCTATAGGATTATAATCAGGAGAATATGGAGGTAAGAATAAAAGTCCAATGCCAGCTTCTCTGCAGAGATCTCGCAGTGCTTGTGAACGATGAGAAGAGCAATTATCCATCACTAAGTAGTGATAACCTCGTTGGCATTTGGGCAGTATCCGGACACGTACAAACTCATTGAACCTCTCTGTATTATAGGACCCCTGATATATATCATAATCAAGATATCCATCGACACTTATTGCAGGTAAGATTGACCATCTGCGAGATCGTTTACAGGGCCTTCTAATGCGACAAGGGAATCCTCTGCTTGACCATCCATATCGTCGATCTGCAGTACGTTCATTCGCAGCACTCTCATCTAAAAAGATAAGTTGATCAGGTTGATACTGAGTAACTTGAATACGCCATTCAGCTCGAAGTTCTTCGTTGCGTTGACTGGCCACAGGTTCAACCTATATCAAATAGAACTGACAGATTAGCAGGTTCTATAAGTGACAATTGCAATAATTAATCACCTTCTTCCATGTCAAATTCAGTTTCTTCAACAATCTAGATATCGATCGAGGGTGGATATCAACATCAAATTCATCCTTCACAAAGCAGACAGCCTCATCGCGATATGCAGTTGAATATGCCTCAAAAAAGTCCTCCAAACCTGACAAGATATCCGGTGTGATCTTTGGCTTTACACCCCATGTTGAACGAGGACTTCTAGCAGTTCCAAAGCAGCGAATATTTCGTTGGATTCGATATACAGTGGCCAGACTGCACTCAATGGTCCGCGCAATCTGAGCAGGCATATAACCATCATTTAGAAGGCGTACGATCTCATTGGTGGTAAATTCGCTGAGCTGGGGGGGCATATTGGCAGATTTGATGATAAAGGTGCGTATTTGAATGGATTGGATGATATTTGAATGATTTTAGACGTGGATATTTTGGTTATTTCTGCGGTGTTTTGCTACTATTTTTCAGGGGGTGGCAGAAAATTCTGTTTTCGCAAGCTTTACGTCCGCCACAATAGAACCCGCGATTAATTAATCCTCAAATCGACCAACATTGCCGGGTCTCGGAAATAATGGACAGGAAAAAATCAGATAATAACTCTCAAAATTGACAAACTATCCCAGCATGCCTACTCCGGCCTCTTGTTGCTTCTTCTACCCAGGTATGTTACCTACTTTTTTTTCTTTGCCCAATTTTTTCCTTTGTATTAAGAGGGTTATACGGCTATATTTGAGATACGAGTAACTAATGAGAACCTTCGCGAGGCGCCCAAAAGAGTCCTAGATAAGTGGTTAGATGATTGAACCTTGATTAAACCTTGATTGGAGATGAGATTAAACAATCAGGGATAGAGACTCAATCAGGTTATGACTCGATTAACTAGTTGGTTGATACCTATAATCTTGCTCATCCTCACAGGGCGACGACGCTACTATCCGGTGCCCAGTTAGGGTCATATTAGGGCACTGCCTCACCAGAAGATATTGTCTGCGTAGAATCGGATCCTGTATCTACGCAGCGGTAATGACCCGTCCAGATATTGCCTACGTCGTTAGCTAGCTAGCTACCTCCATGTCCAAACCCTTCTGCAGGCCATTCTACAGAAATCGGCCGCATTATCGCCGATCTACGAGCTATGAAGAATCTAGCTATCCAATGTAGCGCAGAACCAGAACTATCGCCATAGTAGCACTGCAAGTACGACGGTTGATGCGTGTTAAGGCCATTGCTATCACTCAACGGACTGTCTCCCAGTTTTCACGAGCGAGCTTACCGCGCTCATAACTGTCGGAAATGGATGATTTCCAAAATATTGCTACAAAGTTATTTAATATCAAGTTGAATTGTATTCTAATAATGATTTCTGATTATTGACACGAAAATATAGCAGTATTTATAAGAATGGAATGGTCATAAGCGAGATTAAAGTTCAGTTTTTGGATATGAATACCAATCCGAATATCATTCTCTCCAATTTGGATCTTGCGAAAAGTGGCAAAGACGTTCAGGTTTTGCAAATTGCTTGACATTTATAATTTGACTTGAGTTTCTCATAATTGATACAGTTACTATTTTTGGTCTTCATAAATATAACAAGATTAACCACACACGTCATCGGAACAGCTACCTGATGGATACATTTTCACAGGCATAAGCTGCTCAAACCAGCCCAATCTCGCAAAATAATCAACGTATGCTGGGAACTTGCGGACGCGATGGCCTTCAGTAGGATACAGTGCGCAGGCTGACTCCACCCCCTTTTCCACCAATGCCCGGTGATACATCATAGCTTGTGTGGGCGGAGCGCAAGGATCATCTTTTCCTGCAATTTGTAGCACAGGCGTCCGGTACCTCCCCGCAAACATCAGCGGGCTCCTCTTTTGATACTCCCCGCCCACGCAGTACGGATCAGCGTCGAGCAATATGCGGTCACATCTCGGAATGTTTAAAGTGCCATGTAGGGACACCCAATCTGAAATAGGTGCGACAGCGACTCCTGCTGCGAACAAATCTGTTTGTGTCACTATCCAGTTCGTCATGAATCCCCCGTAACTCCCGCCTGTTACGCCAATCCGCGACCTGGCTGCCAACCCGGTCCCGACTAGATGCTCGATCCCGCTCAACAGGTCTTGGCAGTCCACTCCGCCCATGTTGCCGTATATCTGGCGGACGAAATCTTGCCCACGCCCTGTCGAACCACGGGGATTTGGGCGGAATAGGGCGTACCCATTTGCTGTGAGGAAAGCGCTAATATCAATGTCCGGCCATTCATTCTTGAAACAGGAGATAGGTCCGCCGTGACAATGCATGATTAGTGGATAGGGGGCTCTACCTAACGACGGGAGGCGGAGAAACCCTTGGATTTCTACCTCATCTGTGGCTCGCCAAGTCAATGGTCTGCCTTCGCCGGATTACTGTTTCCGTTCGATTGTTTTCCCGAGACATTTGCGGGTATTGCATCCAGCTTCCTGTAATGATGGCAAAACTGCCGCTAGCTATAGGCGCCGCGCCGTAGCTTGCTGATTCTGACGTCCACAGCTCAGTAGTTGACTTTGTAACCACGTCGACTTCCCCAACGACTGTATTAAGTCTTAACCTTTCAATCCGGTGTAGAAAAGTCTAGATTCGTCCAGCCAAGATATATTGGTGACATCCACGCCCTCCACGTCCAATTGCCATGCTTCGGAACTGTCAACATCCACGATCATCACAATTCCTACAACCTTTCCTCGGGTATTGCTTAAAGCCTGGGTAAAAGCAGCGTATTTTCCAGACTTTGACGAAACGACGCCTCCCGCTTGGCATGGTGACGGCGGAATATATATAATACGTTCAGTCCCTCGAAACAAGTCGAGCACAGAGACACGGCAGGAATACCACGCTGATTCACTAAAGCCATCTGACACAACAGCAACAACATGGCTCGGTCCGCACCATCCAGCTTCCCACACGCTAGCTTGGGGAAACCGGATAGCATGAAGGTTCTGTTCTTTCACACTGTCATACACCACCAGCGAACGCAAAGTTCCATCACAGCTGTCTGCCTGAATCTCTGGTGTCCAGGAAGGGATATCTTCGTCACTCCCTCTGGGACCAGCGATCCCAAGGAGCAACTTTGCACTGTCTGAATGCCATCTTGCATACTCGACAGAGACGGTTTCGATATCAGATACCTCAGCCAGTTCTCCAAAATTTTGTCCGCGAAGCAAATAACATCGATATCCACCCTTTCCCCCCCGGTTAGACAGGAACGAAATTTGTGTCCCATCGGGGGAGAATTGGGGTTGTATATTTTGGTAAGGCGCGGGCTGTGAGTCCTCGCCGACTATGCGCAACACAGCCCCGGCAGTCGCCTCTATCAAGCAGATGCGGGACTCGGGCTGACCTTCCAGTTTGCGCCATGTTTTGCCGACAAAGGCGACCAGTTTCCCATCCGGTGATGAAACCGGGTCTGATGCCAGGGTGATTTTCCCAAAGCCCGGCTCAATGAGGTTTTTGAAGTAGGCCCCTGTTTTCTGTTTTCTGGAACAGGGTGCTCTGGGTAATTTTCCTGTCTGTTAAACTGCTTCCCACCTTTTTAGGCAGGGGGGCCCAGATGATTGTCGACCGTGTGCATGATTCCCAATGTAACTGACTAGTTATCTGAAACCCTAAGATAGTAACAATGGTGCAGCTAAACGGCAAATGGGTAGCAACAAGCAAGCTTGATGCATCAATTTGAAGTTGAAGTTTCGCTCTGCTCTCTTGCCTGAGTATAATCCAGGACTGTAAAAAATTCGGGTCCCTGTTGGTCAATAATATGCATTGGTTAAGGACAGATGCCCCAGTTGAGGTTAGATCCCATAGTTCAACCGCACAATGCATTTGTAAAAGAATCAATCCATAATGTGGGGTCGCACATCTGCAAGTATTTATAAGATTTTAGCCTTTAGTTAACTAGATCTGAACGAACTAGTTCGCTTAGGCTCTGATCTTTTTCAACAATCAGAGAATTTGCAGCACTTTTTATACTATGCGTTCACTGCCAATATTCTGTCTCTACTATATATACGGACATATCTTTGCTCTCACTATGGACGGGCCGTGTGCATATGAGCTGCAAGACGGACCTCTTTCGAATCTATCAATCATTGAGCCCCGTTTCCTTGATGATCTCACCAACTGTATTGCTAAGAATAACCTGGCCTCATAAGACCTTCAAGTCCTTGGGTGCCGGTTAGCTCTATAGAGAAGTTCATCCAAGTTTTCATCCAGGGAACCGTAATGCTGGATTCGTTAGATGTCAAGACCTTGCACGACCACTGCAATGACATCGTTTCCACATGCTGCCTCGCATAGTCATCGCAGGCTGTGCGAGTTGCCGATGTCTTCTCGAAGAAATTCTCGATATCTCGCTCGACGGAATACTCCATATCACTGGCGGCCACAATGGATATAGATTACAGAGTTAGGTCATTGATAGACGAAGCATTGTGTTCTAGAGGGACAACGGAAGGTCATAATAAATCAGCAGATTGATACCGCCTCCACCTAAGCGCCCATTGGGCAGAACTTCGGGAGCCAGCGAAGTTTTAAGTTTCAGTTTCCGAATGTGCTCCAGGGTCAAAACATTCCAAGCTTCGACTGAACGCATTGCCTCAGTCGGGACAGCTAGGGTGAGGTTAGAGCATGGAAATGCATAGTGTGTTTGAATCAATAGCGCGTTGCTGCCTGGAGATATGGCCTTGATGGGGGTTTCTCGATGAACAGGATATTTACCACACTCGTCTGAACGATCCATGCGCGCAACTTGGACGAAATTCCTCTACTGGTTTCAAACACCCAACTCAACTTCATCCCCTTTTCATCCATTCCATTCCATTAGTTACAGTTATGAGATGTGGGCAGTGACCTAAACATGGTGTTAATGTCATAAAACCCCGCACATCTATCTGCCAGCGGGGTTGAACCAGTTCATCAATCAGACACTCAAACACCAGCATATCGGCCCAGCTGGGAATACAAAGTGTGCTTGCACGTTCAGCAATCTGTGGAGGAGATTCTACGGCTATATTGCCTCAGACAGTGTTCGGTATGAAGTGTTCCTCCCCCTCTATCCGTCGATGGATGTTTGTTTCATTGCTAGTTTCGTATGGGGGGGCTCGAAAACTTTAATGCATAGAGAATAAGGAGGTTACGGCTCAATACACACGACATATGCTTACTACCATCTCAAATATAAAAACAAATACCTGTTCTGAGATTCAAGTATCGAACTGCAATACAAAAGTCAGTGTAGAAATCATCTTCCCATGTTGTATCTACTTGAACTTCTCGAACACCTGTCAAATAAATCATCTGGGCAGCCATTGTTAACTCCTTGCTTATTTGTTTTCTATTTTTTTACAGATTCCGTTGTTACTCATGGCAACATTCGTGTTGAGAGCGGGGATGTCAAACGGGCTGGGTCAATGATATTTTTTCACGGCTGGTATGTATGGGTAACAGCCCAGGAGTGGGCTGCAACAGTGCTCCATTTCGTTGGGTCTCGATCTCGTCGTCCAATATCTAGCTCTCGACCCTGCATACTGGTTGAAATCGAGGGGATGTGGTTCGATTGCTTGTTCACCGCATTTATTTATGTCCAACACCACCTCTGTGAGCCGCTCGATTTGCTGTTTTGTTGGTCGCGAGGTAAGTATGGAGGGGAAGGAGCTGCATATCTGACGGTGGATGCATTTTCCCCGTACTCCAATAATCATTGCAAACCCTGTTATTGTTTTTGTTCCTGGTGAGTGTCAGAGAGTCGTGGGTTCTGGGAATGGGATGCGGCTGAAAAAGTCTTATCTGCAGAACTGCTGCAGGGAGGTGTTGTCGTTGATGACAACAACAACAACAACAACAACAATCCGAGCCGTTCTTTCGATTCTCGTTGGCCAGTCATGATTTTGTTTCTTGGTTTTGTTCCTGTTCCATCTGCATGGAGTAATGCGGTAAAGCCGATGCGGGTGAGTGACCCATTGCCCCTGGCGATTTTCAGGGTAACTTGTTCCAAAATCTTCTGAACAGCGATATCCAGGGAGTGCGCTTCGTTCGTCCCTGTGGATCTGAAAAAAATCATGATAGAGGGGAGCTCATTCAGCAGCCTGATAAGAATATTGCGCGGTGGCCCGTTCACCCGGCATGGTTCCAAGATTTATTGTTTTTATGATGTTATCTTCCCCCGGCTGTGAAAGATGAACAGACTCTGGGGCTCCCCGGAAAAAAAAAAAAAAAAAAGACTAAACCGATCAATGCAGCAGCCTGCCTAACAGGATTTTCCGCGGGCAACGAGGTCAATTGCAGACAGATGTAACCATAATGGCTTCGGACCTCTTAATTCGTGCACAAGGGGGATTTTCGTTTCATTCCCTATCATACCCATACCTGTTACTCTCCATTCATCCATCCATTCTTATTTGAACCAGCTTGACGAAAGTTTTCGGCAGGCCGCGTTCGATGTTGCAGACTGCTTTGGCCAATAGAAGTGCGGAAGTGCAGGTTTACATTCCTCCCTTCTTGCTTTGCTTTTGTTCATGCTACTGCTGTTGATGGCTTGCTTGATGAAACATCCGCTGCAGGAGTTTTTGCATCCATGTCAACGTCGCCAACCACGTCCCCCACTCGTGACTGGCTTTTCGTTTCGGACCTAAGGTTGGATGCTCACACTGATGTTGCTGAGAATACAATAGTTGCAACATATTGCTTTGAGGCCAAACCGTTTTCTGACCCGATCATGTGCGCAAGGCACTCAATTGTGGTCGGATGCGCTTTTAGGATTCACCCCTGTATCTTGACGGGTCAGACGAGAAAGAATCGGAGCGCAAGAATTAAATGAAAAGTTCACTTGTCGAGTGCAGAGATGCAGTCGCTCTGTTATTTTGTCGTTTCACCTTTGGTGGCGAAAAACAGTCACAGTGACTGACCCTAAGCTGTTCATCGGCCCCTTGGCATTTTGAGCCGCAAAACTTTAATTGAAACCGCAGCCTGAGGCTCTGGGGCCTCTGGGAGAGACACCTGCTTCTTCCTACGCGGGCCGTTCTCTGTTGACTGCCTTACCCGCCGAACTGCTCCCGCGTGTTGGTTTATTATTCTTCTTGCTTACTGGCATAGTAACGTAAGAAACGATGCACGGGACATCTTCCAGTCTTCCCTCATAGCGGGATGACGAAGGCTCGATTACGCATCTTACGGATGCCAAGGAGCATGGTCAAATCTCCGGCTGATTTGACAAGCTTCCACTTCGGGAAGCCAACGGACAATAATCGAGCATACTAGGCTTATCCAGGTCAAGTGCGCAGGACAGAAATAGCCAGACAAGACCCAGGAGCACCGGAAAAAGCTGGAGGGCCAACGTGTGGGGGTTTTTCTGGGGGGTTCTGGGGGTTGGTCATCTGCGGTATTGTATGTAAACAACTAGCGGCAAACAGTTTGCGTCACCGAGATTTCTATGCGGGCGGGCGAGGAGAACGCACCAAATTGAGGCCCAAAACAGCGGTTGAAAATGAGTGGGCCGGGGGGTTATGGATCGTATGCAGGCGGTATTTGGGTCTCGTTGTATTTTTTTTTTTTTTTGTGACTTTCCTCTTTGGAGCAAGCAGCTGTGGCTGTGGGACCTGGAGCGCCTCTGAGACCAGAGAAGCGGATGGAAGCTGAGCGAGGGCTCGACGAAACGATAAGTTACTGATAGTCCATAGAGATAGAGGACTGACTCGACTGAACTGCACAGATTACATCTTTGGGAATCCTGCTACCTAATTTGCGGGGTCCTTTTATGTTTGATACTCTGATTCTCTGATTTAGCTTCATTGGCGTAGTCTGTAGACACGTACGGAGTAGGCAGATTCATATTCTTATCGTCTATCATCCAAGCGGACAAAAGCGCAATAAACAAGAGACTCGTTGACTCTTCTCACGCTTCTCAAGAGCAACTGTGCACTGTACAGTACAATACACTCCCGCTGACAAAAAAGCATCGGAGCTCCCCTCCCTCACCTAACTCCGACCCCCGAAGCAGTCTAGCGCCGACCCCGTGGGTCCAGTATCACCTTTCGGCCGCAGCACCCAGCCAATCAGCGGGGGCCCTGGCTCGCCTATCAGGCAGACACGATGCTTCGCCTTGGTACGCGGCTGCTCAGCAGGCTCGTGTTGGCGATGGCCGCATCCCTCTGCCAGACACCCTCTGCCAGACCCTCTGTCCGGCGCTCCCCCGTGCACTTTCTTAACCCCCTTCATCTCCATCTCTCGCTCTCGTCTTCATTCCAGTCTCAGTGCTGCGATCCTCAGTCATCCATTTGTACCCTCAACAGCCCGCGAGTCACTCGCCAGGCGTCTCCGGCTCGTTTCGTCATCCAGCGCTTGTTTGTTTTTTGGCTTCCATTCTCGTTACCGTTTTCTGCTTTTTGACTCGAGACGTTTTCGAGCATCCTTTTTGTTTATATTTGGCTCTGTCTTTCATACAGTTCTTCTCAATCAATCTGGATTCATCTCATCCTTTGGGTATTTCTCCAGTGGATGGTCTGTCCAGGGGATTATCGGTGTGATCTGAGAGACATTGAATCTAGTTTTTTCTTGTATTCTACCCATATACTGCCAATCATCTGGGCGTCCATTCTGAATTGAGGGTCAGTATAGTGGAAGTCAATTGAATTGGCCACCTGGCGTGTTTTATATATCAGTTGCTGCGCTGTGAACAAGCCCGCTAAGATGTCGTGGTGGTGACTCCCTCCAGACCCTTCGTCCCGCAGATCCCGGTTCCTGATTCTGAATAGTGGCCTTAATTCACTTTTGCTTTCCAGGTGAGTCATACCAATCTATGTCCTCCCCTTGATGAAAAGGTGGGGAAGGGTCAAGAGAGAGGTTGGTTGTGTTGTGGCTCTTGTGCTAACTCGCTCTTTTCTCCTACAAAAAGCCAGGGACTCCCCCCTCCCACCTCGTCGCAAGTATGTCCGCACCCCAGGTTCATTCACGCCGTCGACCTCTTCAGCATAAGAACCTCCCCCATCTTTCGATTACTTCTTCGTCCTCTACTTCAGATCAGTCGTCATCCGACTCAACATGTCGCTTAACGCCCCATAGCATGAAGTTGAAGAAAGGTGCCACCTTCCACTCTCCAACGACCCCGCCGTCTGAGGACTCTGATCCAATCTTCAACATCCACTCGCTGCTTCGACGCTCTCCTACCTGTCCCAAGGCTCTGGAGGATGTCATTGCGGCCGGTGTAGGACGAAGGGCCGTGTTCTTAGACAAGTTCGAGCGTAGCCCTTATGGTCTCGGAAGCGACCTTTCTGCTCCTCGGTTGGACAACACTCTCTGTGATAACGACTCGCCTGTTCCGCGTGGAATGCCGGAGGCCCGAATGACTAACACTGACCCTATGAACGACGTAGACTCAATACAGAAAGATAAAGCTTTCAAACCTGTCCGCGATCAGGATCGGCGCCGTCGTCTTTCCTGTGATAGTGGTATCGGTTCGTCCATCAGCGGTGCTAGCATGTCTTCCTCTGTCGATACACGCGAACAAGGTATGTGCGCTGTTTCATCCGCATCAATAATGTCCAAACCACTTTTTCTAACCCTCGCTCGACTATAGTTCGCAAAGCTACTCATTCCTTCCAAGAGGAGGGTAAAATTGTCTCAACCCAATCTGCCATTACTAGATCTATTTCATCTACCACTGCCTTAGCTCAAATCCCCAGCTTTAGCGTTACTGCTCGCAAGCACATCGATCGCTTTATTCTCGTTCCTATTCTTCGTGAAAAACGTCTCTCCCCATTCCATCCCTTAATCCGTAGCGTACCCCAGCGGATTGAGAGCAAAGAGATCGCCTGTCTTCGAGATCTTGAAAAGACCATTCTTTTCCTAGCCCCGGTGAGTCAGATTCGCAACCCTCATAATGTACCGGACGTTGCTTATACCATCAATCTTCATTTAAAGCGGTACACCCAATCCAAAGCAGTCTACCTTGGATTCTGTGAATTTACCATCCAGTGCCTTCATACTACGGTTGGGTACTTGAATGACCGCGATCAACGACGGCCATCCGATCGTCCGTATACCAACGGCTATTTCCTTGATCTCGTCGAACAGATGCGACAGTACGCTGCTCTGGTCGGTGCTACTCGAGAAAGGCAGGGCCCTCGCCCCCGCTCGAGAATAGCAGAGAATAACATGGAATATTCATCGTATGTGTACTCTCTAGGTCATACCACTTCTACTGTTTACATAGGCTCACGGAATTCGCTTCTCAGTGATGAGGAAGTCACCCTTGAAGGCGGCTTGGGTGCAACCGGACGCCCCGCTGAATTAGTCCGACGAAAGAAGGATAAGCAAGCTATCTCCCTTCGTACTGGAAACCCGTACGATGAAAAGGCATCGCCTGCTGTCCCAATCATGAAACGCTCCCTGAGCATGGAATCATGCGATGACGGCGTTGCTCGTTCGATGGCTCGACGAAAGAAAAATGCCCCCCCTCTTGACATTAACCAGAAATGCAAAGACTGCGATAAAGTGTTCAAGAGACCCTGCGATCTTACGTATGTTCCCTTCCCTCGTTTAAGTCGGGCTATTTTTGTTCTTTCATTCCTTGTAGCTTCTCACTGACATGTATAACAGTAAACATGAGAAAACTCATTCGAGGCCATGGAAATGTGCAGAGAAGTCATGCAAATATTTCGAAATCGGCTGGCCAACTGAGAAAGAGAGAGACCGTCATGTGAATGACAAGCACTCCAAATCCCCGCCCTTGTTCAAATGCCACTTTTCTCCTTGTACCTACCAGTCCAAGCGCCAGAGCAATTGCAAGCAGCATATGGAAAAAGCACACGGGTGGGTGTATATTCGATCCAAGAACAACGGCAAAAGCGGCAGCCGAGTGTCGGGATCAACGTCAGGCCAGCCCACTCCTCGGACCCCTAATATCCAAACTCCCAATTCAGGAGTTATGGATTTACCAACTCCTCAGAGCCATCCGGGCCGGTCCCCTTATGCACCCAATGTCTCGCCTTACGATCAGAGCTTGCAGTATACCGGCCCTTCTGGCGGTTACCCACTAGATGACATGATGGATCCACACAATCATGACTTCCAACTGTTCCCGGATTCAACCACAAACAACAACCTTTTTGATGACTTCGATATCAACAACCCATTTGCACCACAATTGGACTTCAGCGCCTTCCAGGCCAGTTTGGAAGCTGGTGATCCAAATGAATATGTCCCAAGCCTGGACATGCACATTCCCTCCGTGCCCTCCAGCGCAACCACACCTGATGGAACCGGGCCTATGGGACCTGGTACCCTGACGGACGAATCGCCCTTCGAACCCACACATCCAACCCCAAATTTCAACGTCGACTTCGACAATCTTGACAATGAGTACACAGTCATGAACATGCAGTTACTCACGCCCGCGCAATCCGTCGAGGTGCACGGATTGCGCTCCTTTTCGCGGAATCCATCTCCAACATGCCCGGAGCCGCAACAGAAGACCAACGTCAACCATAACTTCTCTCCTGCCGGCCAGGGTAATTTGATGCTCTATTCGCCCAACTCCCAGGAGCGGGAACGAGATTTGGATTTGGATTTGGATATCGATATGGATGAAGGGTTTCACGATGGTTTTGACAATTATCATAATCACAACAGCCATATTGGCATGGGCAAGCCGAATGGTGATTTTACACTCTTTGAAAGTCCATCTACTACGTCAATTGACGGTATTAGCAAGCATGCAAATTTCGACCACAGCCTGGGGTCGCAGCAGAATGTTCACAATTTCCCGGCACTTGACAGTTTCGCCAATGGCGATGGCGGACACTTCGCGGATTCTGATGCAGCAAGAGGGTGGCCTGCTGATCAGATTGATCCGATGGATTTGCATAGGGATGTTGATGAGTATATTATGGGTGGTTTCTAAATGGTAGTTGTAGTGTTTGGGTTTTAGATTTCGGCGAGCTTCGAAGGCAAATGGATGAAGAGCGGACAGAGCAGGCTTTTTTATTCTATTTTATTTTTTCTTCTCAAATTTATCATCTTAGTTGAAGTGTTTTATTCTCTCCATTCCATCTGAATTCACTACTGCCGGCTTTCCGATCCTCTTGCAATTAATACAACGCGCCTCACAACACCCCCCCTTTTCCCCTCTCACTCTTCTCTCCCTTTCCTTTTTTTTTTTTTTTTAACTTTTTTTTCTTTCCCCTTTTGCATTCATAATTGTAATTGTTTTCTGTTTTTCCTTAATTATATTTATCCCTTCCCTAGTTTGTGATCCCTCTCATCTGAATGTATGCGATGCCCCCGTACCTCACCTCTCCAAGAAGCTCCCCTCTCAAATTCACGGCATTTTGTTCGGATATTTATTTATGTGTTGTAAAAAGATTTGATTGTTGTTCAAACACACTCCATCATGTATTGTTTTGTCCTGCCATAGGAAGTTTCCGATCGAATATACAGCGTTGCCCCTCCCTACCCTTCCCTCTCTCTCCCGTCAGGTGAGTTCATTGGTTTAACTGGTGAGATGTGAAAAGAAAAAAGGGGGAAATGGATCAATACATATATATAGATATATATATATCTACTGGTAGAGATAGAATCCTCAAACAAGAACTGCATGTTCTGTTTGGGCTGGCTGTTACGCGTAGCTCTACGCGTACTACCAGCAGGGGTCTGCGCCCTGTACTGTACATACATGTAACCAGACAAATCAGCACGCAGCTGACTGGTGATCTGTACTCCGTACGGAGTAGTTAGTTGCTTAATTAGTTAGTTCCATAGCTAGTCAACTAGGTAGTTAGTTAACTTAGTGAATTATAATACCTTATGTCATTGCGGTCTAGGCATCGGCAGTCGGTAACCTACAGGGTGGCCTGTTGGGAGTGCGCATGGAGAGCGAGCGCAACGATGGAGCTAACCAGGGCAGCTGCTGAGGCGACGTTGTTCGGGGTGTCTGGTGTCTGTTTGCGCAAGCAGTCGAAGACCACTTACCACTAGTTACACGCCGCTAAACCACTGCATCATACTACCGTGTAGTATGCTGGATAGGAGTACCCACTCGTAGGGCGATATGGGGACGGGGGACAGGGCTGTCTTGGAAGGAAACGTATGGAGTACAGGGCAATAATAGCAAATAATAGCGCTCCATACTCCATACTCCATATCTGCTGCGTCTGTGGCTGAATGTGCTCATGGGAATGTGTGCTGAGGCTTGATGCTTGGCAGGCTCCAGCCCCAAAACGCAGACCTCATCACCAATCACCTCCATCGCAGCATTGGCTGTGAGATTGTACTTGTATTCTTCCTTCTTCTTGCTTATAATGCACGCCCCCCTCCCCCACCACGACGCTCCTTTATAGAAATACATTGGATTTCATTATCCCGTCATCCTTTAGATTCCCCGTGTGTGTGTGCGAGTGTGCCTCCCCGAGCTGTTACACTAACTGGCTGAACTAACAAGTTTAATTTCCCTCGCTGATCACCTTTTCAACCTCCATCTCTCGAACCACACGCAAAAAATTAAACCACACATTCCTCACTCACTACGACTCACCTCGTTATCGAGCGCTAGGAATATGGAAAATGGCCCTCCTACTCCAGCGCCTGCACCTCCCCCCGGCCAGATCTTGACCGGCAAACAGGAACACTGTACGTCACATACTCCAATTACCCCGCCAAGCTACTGGTCAACACACTCCGACATTGTTCTCCTTCGTTTCTGTTGTTCCTTTTCACTGCTCAAATGTTTTTGGGCTCTCTGCGGGATTGCCAAAAGCTAACCGACCTCACTCGATCAAAAACTCACATGGGAGGAAAACAGACCTCAAGCGCGAATTGATATCGCTGCAAGTCCGCGCGGAGATTGCAGAACTCAATTCCCCCACCGCCCTCCGCCGTTTCGGGGCTCCCTTCAAGTCGGATCTTGGAGAGATAGCACCCATTGATTCAGAGCTGCCCATTCTCAGGTTCATATTCGTCCAGCATGTGCGCAAGTTCCCGTTCCTGGATCAGGCCAAGGAGAAAGAATTTTGGCAGGATAAGCTGCAGACTGTATGAATTTTTATTTATTTATTTATTTATTTATTTATTACTATTTAGCTCCATTATTCTATTACCATATACTGAAGTGACGTGCGCTAATGTTTGTGGTGTGTCATAAACACAAAAAGTTCCTCGAGTCCTTCGCGAACAAACATATATCCTCCAGCGAAGACCGGCACGAAGAAACGAAGCGGCGCAAGCTGGCGCTGAAGTGTGAGAAGCTGGTCGAGCTTATGATGGTCTCCGGCATTCCCACCGCGTCCGGCTATGAAGAACGTATCCGCTTCTCGGAAATGGAGGTGGTGGATCGCAGTGCTAATGAACAAGGGTTGCTCGTTAATATCCCCGATGGCCATGCCATACACGGCTGGGATGTAAATGTTGCTGGCGCCCGGACGACATTGGTTAAGCGGACAGTTAGGTACCACCAGCATGCGGTATGTTTGCGCTAGAAGGCATCCTCCCTTCGTCACAATATTATATATATATAATATTAAATCAATGAATGCTTATTCAGTCCATGCCTGGTTATAGGAATTCATCCTTAGAGTGAAACAACACGGCAAGCCTGATCGCTACGTCGGTCGACGGTTCGGCGAGTTCGCCAAGCTCCACAAACGCCTTCGTACCGAGATGCCCGGGAAAATCCTCCCACCGCTACCAAGGAAGAACAAAGGCTCTGTTTCCTCCACCATCCTCGGAGGCGGAGACGATGATGCGTCGTCCGACTCCTCCGTCTCAACTCAAGATGCCAATTTCACCGACGACTCCCGCTCCGCTCGGACTCTCACCGTCAACAACGCGGACCACCATCGTTCCTCCTCCCGTTCATCAGTCACCAAAAAGCTGAGGTCAGCGACGGTCACCCCACGTCCTTCGACAGGTGACCTCAAGACGGAGGTTACGGTCTCCTTGTACCGCGAAACCCAGAGAGTATCCCTCCGCGCATTCCTGCGCACCTTACTGCAGAACCCGCGGATTGCGGAATCCAAGGCGCTGGAGGAATTCCTCACAGCGGACCCGATCACGTTGAACGAGGAGGAGCTTATGGATATCCAGCGTAGGAAGGATTTAGATGCGAAGCGGGTTGAGGAGCAGAGACAGTTTTATGAGATTGCAAGGAAAAGAGCGCAGGAGCTGGATGTTTATATGGAGCAATTTCGACAGGATATCGTCGAGAATAGTAAGTGTTTGGCCTGGTTATTCTGGCTGCTCTGGATCTTCCACACTCTACACAGTAGTAAGGATTTTTTGGACTAACCATTTTCTGATTTTTGTTTTTTCTTTTACGAATTAAGATGGCTTGACGAAATTATTCCATGAGATCCGCGTGAAGAACTCTGTTGAAGAGTTGAGTCCTCAATATCAAAAGTTTGCAGAATGGCTGCGCATTGAGTAGGTTATACAAAGATCTTCTATTCTTACATTTTTTAGGTTGACACTAATTTCCCCCTGTCCAGGGTTGCCGCGATGATATATCACCTCTTCCTGGCGGAAGACAACTCCCCCGAACTATTCGCCCAAGCAAAACGCATCCATTCTTTAGTGCCCTACACCATCATGAAAAACGTAATTCGCATCGCGAACCCCGCCGCTGTCATGTCCGGCGTTCTAGACCTGTTCCTCGCCCAGCCCTTCGGCTCCCGTTCGCTACTCCAGCGCATTTTCTCTCTCGCTATCCACGACGGCATCAAAACATTCCAGCGCTCCATAGACACGCTCAGTGCCAAGATCGAAGACCCTGTCCTTGTCAACAAGTTGCGGGCGTTCACGGCAGCCGACGAACAGGTGAAGGATGAGCTGAGGCGTGAGGCAAAGGAGGAGGATGTCGATATTGTGGTTGCGATTTTGAGGTCGGAGTATATCGAGCCCGAGCTTAGTCCGGCGCAGATTGAGAAGGTTTTTAATTCCTATGTTGCGTGGGTCAATACGGTTGAGAATGTGGGTTTGCGATTCTTTACTGTTACTTATTTTTTTTTTTTTTTTTAATTCTTGGCAACTGCTAATGTTTTCACCTGCAGGTTGATATGCAGATGCAGCAGGGTGCGCATTGGTTTGCGTATCTGAAGCAGCTGTTGAAACTTTTAACACGTCAGCGAGACAAGGCCATGATGTTGAGCGTTATCGAAGAGGTATGGAAAAAAAATAATATAAATATTTAAATAAATAATTGCTCCTGCGGCCAACCTCCGAAAAGACAAGTGATACTAACTACCCACAGCCCGTCACCCTCCAACTCTTCCGCGACCTGTTCACAATCTTCTACGAACCCCTCGTCCGTGTCTACAAGTCTGCAAACGTTTACAGCAGCATAACCGACTTCGCCGAATTCGCCGATGACGCCATCGCTGTCATCGAGAGCGCGCAGCGCCAAGACGTTTCCGCAGACCCCAACCAGACCGTCCAGGCCTTCATCGACCTCTGCGCCCGCCACCAGCACAGCTTCTACAAATTCGTCCACGAGGTCCACCTGCACGACAACGGCCTCTTCGACGCCCTCATGGGTTGGCTGGAGGACATCCTGCACTTCCTCCGTCATGGGCCGCGCAGCGGCGGCAAGCTGGACATGAACGCGCTGTTCCGTGGAGCGGTGGCTGTGGGCCAGATTGACCCTGAGTTAGCGATGAAGGAGATTGACTTGCTGGTCAAGTGGCATGCGGATCGCAAGAAGTGGCACCACCATAAGACGCGGCAAAAGATGGCTGCGGAAGGGTCTGGGACGACAGCGGATTCGGAGATGCCGGGCAGTGCGACTTTTAGGGGGAGTGATTTTGGGCTGGATGAGGTGAGTCAAGACAATTTTGTTTTTATATACCATGCCCAATTCCTGTTGTTGGTATCCTTACGTCGCGGGAACAGAAAAGAATAGAATAGAAAAGACAAGAAAAAAAAACCATTATTAACAAATCATATACGAAATCAGGCCGATCTCGAAGACCTCGCGATCGACGACATGGCCTCGCACTCCTCCGACGAAGACTCGGCCGAGGATGATCTCGACCCCATCTCTGTCGAACGCAAGCGTCGTTCGAAGCGCCAGGCGCGCCTGCGTCGCACGGCGGGCGAGCCCGTCAAGCCAGAGATCAGGGAGATTTTGAAGATGAGAGAGTCATTTGGGGCGATGGTGAGGACTGTGCTTGCGGATTGAGAGGAGGGGTGTGTGGCGTTTTCTTTCCATATATATATTCTTTTCCCTTTTTGGAAATAGGGCTTCCTTTCATTCTTTGTTTCCCCCTACAATACTTGGGTTAGGATTTTGGGTAGATTCTGTGTTCTATTAGTTTTTATCTTTCGTTCCTCGCTCTTTCTCTCTCTTGGATTATGAGCCATTGGCAACGCCAACCGTGATAGATCCTGGGTTGGATCCCGAGTGTTGTTTATTATTATCATTTTTATCCTTATATTTCTCCCTTTAATGCCCTTTCAGTTTTTCTTTTATTTTCACTTTTAATTTACCCCATCAGTTTTAGGTGGGTGTTTGGGCCAGTTACTCTACTACGTGCAGGTGTACAGTGTTCGTTCTGTTGAAGCGAGGTGTTGATGGCGTGACGGGATGGTGTTACCCTCTTATTCTTTCTTCGTCCCATACATATTGATCCATACACATAGGATTAAATGGGATTTTTTGCCTCATTTTTTTTTTTTTTTTCTGGATTATTCCCTTTTATGCCCTTTACCGTGGGAGTCTGAGCCATTTTCGTTTGGATTCATAACAATCAAAGACTTGATCTACTTCTTCTCGGTTTTGGGTCCCTTTTCGTTCTGTCGTTGTTTTCCCCGATTTTTTTTCCTTGGCTCTTTTCAATTCCTGAATTTTTTGCGCCTGTTACTCCATGCCCTATTGTTTTCAGCGTTGGGGTTTGCTAAGACCCCCCCCCCCCCCCCCTTTTTTTTTTTTTTTTTTTTTGATAAAATAACAATTTAGTCATTCACTCTTTGTTTGCTCTGTTTTCAGCCCCTTGGTTCCCTGTGAACTTTGTTCCGGAGACATAAATATTTTTGTTTAGAAATCTTTCCCAATATATATCCTTGAGGGCGACTTGAGGAAGTCCTTCAATCACCACCTTTGTTGTTCTAGGGCAGTGTGGGATTGGATTTCTTTTCCTCTTTTCTAGGGAGGGATGGTGTATCAACTAGATCTTTTCGATGCTCATTCTTAGCGTGACGCCAAGACCGATTTTCGCATGCGGCTCATTTAGAGTTAAACTAAAATAACCTTATGTTGATCTCGTTCGTCGATGAGTCGTTCCCATGGCGACCACACCAGCCAAGAAACATGAATTCGAGATAGTTAATACATTTTTTTATCCTCGTTGCTTTAATCTAGTTCATGGTTGTCGATGATGAGCAAGCAACACTTGCGTATTAATGGGGATAACAGATAATTCATCAAACCTTTGGGACAACCATTCCCTCTTACTTACTCCACCTACCTGCTACATGACGTTACGAGCCAAAGAGGCCTTGATTTGACCCCCGCTCCTCTCAACAGGAATCGCATGCACATGAAATGTTCTCCCATCATGACCCCTTACCCAGTACCCCATCAACTCGAGATAGGAATAACCAGCCCGCCTCCACCCCGCGAAGTCTCCCCAGTCGCTCCACCGCAGTCCCGCTCCACGGCCTATTTGCCAACGGCAAATGGCATTGCAGCTGCGAGCCGCGCCGGTGGGCCGACCACTTTCAGACGAAAAATGGAGGGAAAAATCACGGGCGCTGGTGTAAGTCCTATTCGACATTCCCCCATGTCTTACAATATTTGGGTTCTACCTTTTTGATTTTGTGCCGAGAACCCTTGTCAAGTCACTGAAGGATGTAATGAATGCTGGTATGCTGTGGTGCCCTGTGACTAATAAAAAAAAAAAAAAAAAAAAAAAAAAAAAAAAAAAAAAAAAATGCAGTCTACACATGTCCGAAGCCGCAGGGGAAACGGTGCAATTTCTTCTTGTGGGGGGAGGAGGCGGTGATTAGGGAACGTGACATGGCGAAGGTGTTGAAGAGTCCGGAAGCGGAAGCGGGAGCGGGAGGAACTGGGTATTCCACTTCGAATACAATCGGCAGCGGCCTTGTGAGCAAAACGCCATCGCGGCCTTTGGCCCAGGCCTCCATCGATACCAGGACCGGATTGCTGACGCCCAAGTCAGGGACGAAGAAGAGGGGCCGTGATTATGAGCAGGGCTATGGTTATGAGCAGAGCTATGGTTATAGCGAGCTGGGATCGCCGAGCAAGAAGAGTAGGGTGGAGGGTGTTTCTATTAAAAGAGAAAATGAAGAAGAAATGAGTGGCGAAGATGACTCGTTTGGTTGGGATGACGATATAGACGAGAACTTTGTGGAGCAGTTTGTGAGACAGGAGAACTCACGACAGACACAGGAACAAGATATCTTTCGACCAAGTACTCCGCGAAAAAACCCTGGGTTGTTTCGAGATGGACGGGGTTTATTTGTGAGCAAGGACGAGGGTGACGGTGCCCGTGGTACTTGTCGGGATGGTAGTGCGCATGGTGAGCGTAATAAAGATCCAGCAGGTCTGGATGATCCTTTCGGACCCGTCCCCTCAACTAGATTATTTGCTTCATACCAACGTCCCAACCTCACACCTTCCACATCCCTTCCCCGATTCTCGACGCCAAAAACAACATGCAGCATCTTTACATACGGACAAGATACAGCAATAACCCCACCTCGTACCACGATAGCGAACCCCTCCGATCTCGCTTCCCCACCAGCACCAACACCAATCCGCTACCCCTCCACACCCTTACTTCACAGCGATAACATACCCTCCGCTGTCACCCCATCTGTCATATCGCCTACCACCACATCTACAATCAGCCCCGAGAAGACCCGAACAATCGTTTCCAATACCTTCGCCGTACTCTCCAAGCATGACATCGTCTTATCGCCCGCAGCTAAGCGGGAGCTTGTTACATTGCTGAACACGGAATATCTACATACGCAGGCAATTATTAAGGGAAGGGATGTTTCGCGAGCCGCTGTTCGGAATAGAGATGCGCAGATACAGACGCTGAGGGGAAGGATTGCGGTGCTTGAGGCGGAAAGGGAAGGGTTCAGGCTTGGGAGGTTGAGTAGGGATTCGGCTAGATTTGAAAGTCTGGAAAGAGTGGAGGAGAGGGATGATGGGTAGGGTTTAGATGCGTGTGTGCATTTATTGTTATTGTAAACTGTTTTTTTGTCACCCCTGATTCGCGGATCTGGAATTCGAACTTGCATTTATCTCCTCGTCTGGGGGGCGAGGCACAATTAGCGCAATTTTTTAGCACGTACCTTTAGTGTATTAAATACATAAAAACTACTGGATGATATGAGGATCTGCTGTATTGATGTGTTTTAGTGTAATTTATGTAATCTATCTGATCTAATCCTAATTAATCATTGGAATGAAACTGTGTTCCATGCAGCACAACCATATCTTGATCTTGGAGCTCTACCTTGTTTCTGCTCTGTTCTCTTTCTTTTGTACTGACACCAGGCACAAGCTCAAGGTCCTGGCAGAGGAATTCGATGGTGATTTAGATCTGGATTTGATCGAGTAGTAGGTAGAGGATTTAAGAATTCCAGGAGTTGAAGATAAGAGCTGCCGACGGAATTCAAGATGGGATATACTCGACCCTCTGTAATCATCGGATCTTGCTTAGCTTAGCACTAATGACAGAGGAGATGCTTGGCACTAATGAGAGTGGCTTCCAGCGGCCATCACTCTCATCACTGTCAAGCAGCATCCCTGTCAGCACTGCCTCACTAAGCTTGGCCCCTGGTCACAGAGGCCTTCATGGGTAAGAAGTGGCTCAAAATGGGATCTTGCCAGTGGGAGGATTTGAACCTACAGCACATCTAACAGTGCTACCTTGGGTAACAGTCTTACCAACTGCGCCACGCGGGTTAAAGCTGATAATGGTTGTATTGATGAGAGCAATGAATTGCTGATTATCTGTTATTTTCATATCAGCATATATATTTTGCATATATTTTTTACTAATATATTTGCATGCAATAAAAATAATTCATTACTTATCAAATTGCAAGCTGCAGTGTTTGCTTAATAAATTGTAATGATAATTCATACAGACACTTTTCAACATACTAAAAATTACAATACATTCAATAAATAAATTATGATTTTTTTCATATGAATTGTATAATGAATTGATTTTGATATCACAGTTGTGAGTAAATGCTAATTTTACATTTATTATTTTTTTTAACTGAACTTTGAAATTCTTCTCACACATCATTATATTTTTCTTGAATTTCATTTTTCATAATTATGCAATCATTTTATTGTTGTTTTTGATGATTTGTTCTATCAGCAGTCTAACTCTACATTCAGATATTCATACATTGATGAGTTGTTGAAGTGAGTGTTGAAAGATGAATGCAGATGTGTTGACAGACTGCTGAAATTGTTAAAAATGAAATAAAAATGAAAGAGAATTAATAGATAATGTAAGCTGCTGAGCTTTCAGAGCTTGCTTTACATTATTATTAACTGTAATTTCATTATTTCTGAGCTGGTTTTCTTCATTTTTTGACAGTTCTCTACTTACATTCAGTCATTTTGACTATTTCAATTGTATTACAGATGTTTTGAAAGTTGATAAATGTAAATCATTACATTTCAAATGCTTACTGTTTGATTGTAATTGCTACATTCTCTATATGAGCTGTTTGACATTTAATTACATCTTGCTTAGTGCTTCTACATTAACTCTACAACATTACTACAATGTTATTCATCTTTTTCATCTATGTGATTGTTCTCTATTTTCAGCTGTACATCTGTACGGAGTAGATTACATGGAATTCATCTATATGAGTCATGTGCAGTCATTATATATCTCATTACATTCGCCTGAGGGATTAAACAGCGCGTTTTCAAGCTGGATAAGCGAGCGCAAGCGAGCGATTGCGGCTTGTTCGGTATTATTCATATTCATAATCTTGTGAGGCAATTCCATACGCCTCCGGCTTGTACTGTTGTACACATTTGTGCTGATAAGATAATCCACGTGATTTCCTAACTCAAATTTTTTCCAAGATCTTTATCCACTCCTGAGACTCCAGATCTTAGATACCTGTACCTAAACGCTGTTGACAGTCGCTCGAAATTGCGCTTATACATAATTTAGATATATGCATATATGACCTAACTGCTACGTATGTATATCCACATAATGGTCTAGCAAACTACAAATCCATTCTCCGCGCAAACATAAGAACTTCTACCTCTTCGCCCTCATCTTGTGAGTTTTATACCCAGCATACATGGTTTGAGAGAGCGATTAGATGGAAGAGGCTGCTACTTTGCAATCCCTCTCCATATCCTCTTCCTATCTCTCCCCTAGCAACTCTTCACCCGTCGTGACGACGGCCAATACCATCTCCACCTTCGAATCAGACATGTTCCGCGCACCGGTCAACCGCATGATGCGGACCCTCGACCGCTCGTTCTTCAAAAAAACCGTCCCTCTCTCTGCTGCTACTATTTTCGACAAACAATCCATTGGCACCATAAAAAGTGAATTGCTCCAGAGTCAGGATTTGTTGCTGGCAAATCGCATTATACCTGTGCGCGCCGCGCGAGAGGGACCGTTAGAAAATGTTACAGATCACTGGTATGGGAGAAAGGACGGGAAGCAGGACAGTCGAAAATGTCTGCTACTTAGGGAGGGTATCAAGGCCGATGGTGTGTGCAATTTATCGCCTTTTAGCAAGCTTTTTGTTTCTTCTGGCTTCAACTTGGGAACCGATCCCTTGTCGGGTGTGCATAACGTGCTAACGTTCGTTCCCGCAATAAATAGACGTGACGACGTGGTCTCCTACTATCCAGAAACTAGTTGAGGCTAAATCGGTGGAAGTTCGTCCGTTCAACCTGCTGCTTGATTATGACTATTTCACTTATAGTATGTCCCCGAATGTGATTGATAAAGAGACGAAAGACTGCCATCGCTAACTACCCTTTGATGGGTAGAGGACATCATCGATTCTATACTTCCGGACGAAAAATTGGATGAATTACCTGTTGGATTTACTCAAGTTGGACATGTTGGTACGTATTTCTAACAGCCGCGGTTGTCAATTTGTTCGTTTCTAACTCTAATCCCTTCCAATAGCTCACTTCAATCTTCGCGAACAATATCTACCATATAAATACCTTCTGGGAGAGATATTACGAGATAAACATCCTCAAGCTAGAACAGTAATTAACAAAACCGATGATGTTGGATCCCACAGCGAATTCCGCACTTTTTCATACGAAGTACTAGCCGGAGAGGACGATATGCTCGTCACTGTACACGAGCAAGACTGCGAATACTCCTTCGATTACTCAAAAGTATACTGGAACACACGTCTCGCCACCGAGCATGAGCGTATGGTCAGCAGGTTCAAAAAGGGGGAGGCTGTTTGCGACGTCATGGCTGGCGTGGGACCCTTCTCAATTCCGGCAGGAAAGAAGCAGGTCTTCGTCTGGGCCAACGATCTAAATCCGTATGGCTACGAATGTCTGGAGCGCGGTGCTGCAAAGAACAAAGTTAGAGAGTTCGTGAAAGCGCACAACATGAACGGCCGCGATTTCATCCGGTTCGCTACCGAAAGGCTATACCAGGGAAATCCCCGAACCGTTGTCCACCGCACCAAGGTTCCTAAAGCGGAACGCGAAAATAGTCCGAACCGTCAACGGAATCCAAAAGCGTTCGACACGGAATATTTGACCTGTCCGCGAACCTTTGACCACTTCGTCATGAACTTGCCGGCCACTGCGATTGAGTTCCTCGACGCTTTTCGCGGTCTCTACGCCGGCATGCAGGAGCTCTTCGAACCGTACACCGACCGCAAACTGCCGCTCATCCATGTCTATTGCTTCTCGACGAATAGCGAGGATGAGGCGCTTGAGCGCAAGGATATCTGTGAGCGCATTTCTGCACGGCTTGGATTTAAGATAACGCCTGAGGAAGAGGGCCGGGAGTTGGAAATTCGGAGCGTGAGACTTGTATCGCCGACGAAGAAGATGTTCTGTGCTTCTTTTAGATTACCTGCTGAGGTTGCATTTAAGAAGGCTTGAGTGACGGGCGCGATAAGGGGTGGAAAGATATATGGGTTCCTAGGAAAGCGGTGTTTCTCATTGTTACCATTTTCGTGTCCATGAGTTTGGAATGTCAAGAATTAGGCGTAACTTCTGTTTCTTTTTGTCTATTTAACTTTGCATATTCTACAATTGTATTTATAACTAGTACATCTATTAGCGACACACGGTAAATTTTTACTCGATTTATCCCGCATTATATCACCACTTTAGATATCACCAAGCACTTCATGTCCTTCGAAGTAATGCATCGATCAAGCGAAAGAAAAAGAAAAGGAAAGAAAAACTAGCAATCTTCGTTCTATTTGTGGTACATCTTTCTATTACTATTCGATTAACATGACCGTCTCACATCTTCTCCAGTGAACCATTTTCCCGCTCCAAGGTTTCGATTAGTATACAGGACCAACTCCGGTCCCACAATTACATTGCAAATGTATCCTATATTACCAGCGTCCGTAGAATTGTTAAAACTATACTGTCCAGGCGGACATCCAGCTGGAAAATTCGGCGGTAGAGTTGGTTTCACAATGGATGTTTGTTCCCGTCAAATAGCCTATGGACCGGAATTCGGACGACGTCTGCTGGAAAGAAGTAAAGCAAATAGTAGGCGGGCATTGGGATATGGATATGTATTGGTGCTGCCATGATAGGGTTCAAGGCGCGCTGTGCAATCGATCTCATACCTTCCACCAATTTTCGCATTCGGGCAATCCACCTTGTACCCAGGGATACAAATAGAATATTCCGTATTTCAATTTTTCTGGACTGCTTTTGCATCTCCAGAGAGACGAGTCACATATCTTATATATCCATCATGACTCATCATAAAATGCTAATTCGACTGCGTTCCATTCCATCAATCACATGTACACGCACACACTCCGTGACTTTTATCCTTTGCTTTACGAAAAGTGGGACAAAAGCCAAAGAGGGCAGAGAGATAAGCATTGATGCTTTCGAGAAAGGTGGAAAGAAAAGCAGCACCAGAATGTGGTCTTCTCACTCCACAAAGTTCCTCAGCTTCGTCAATTCGTCCAGCAGTTCTTGGAGCTCGGTGTCGGAGATTTTATTCCCGATGCTGGGGATGAGCGACTTGGCTTCTTCAGCATCGTTGCAGCAAAGGCTTCCTGTAGCGAGCAATGTTAGAGGAGCGGTTTTTCTCCGTTGCGCAACCACGGTTGCAGCAATCTGTATATTTTCTATGCTTGCGCACAAATCACAAAATGCAACATACCCAGTTGCGACCGCTCAAAAAACTCAAGCTCAGTATGTGCAGATAGCAGGCGTTCGACAGCCTCAATGTTTTCCTTCTCCTTGAACCGCGCGAAGAGCTCGAGATAATCTTGCGTTTTTACTAGGGCCCTGAAAAGAAAGAAACAAAGTGTTAGCAAAACCATACATTCTAGATTTTCTCCTCTCCCGCCCGTCGCCTTCTTGTCTCCAATTCTGCTGCTTGGGTGCGTCGCATCTCAGCTCAATATCCACCACGCGCTACATTCAAAGATCAACTTCCAGCGCGCAGACCTCCCCAACACTCTCCCATCCCAAAAACACAAGCAAAAATAGGGGCTAAACAAATCAAATCAAAACGACATACTCCCTCTCCTCAAATTTATGATCGCCTTTCCTCCTCAAATCCAGCACCTTATTGATAACTAGCCGCGCCTCTGATAACGAGAGCGTCGGTACGTTTTGGAATTCTCCCAGTTTCAGCTGCGAGGTCGCTTCTAGCTCGTTCTGTGGCAGTTCGCGCTTTCGATGCGTGGGGTCTGGGAGGGCCGTGGAGGATGGGGCCGTCATCTTTGGGCAGCGAAAGAGAACAGGCTTGCTTTTTTTTTTTTTTTTCCTTCTTTTTTTTTTTTTTTGTAATCCTTCGTGGAGCTCCTTTGCTGGAGAGTGGAGAGGGGAGTTTTGCAGAGGATTCAAGCGATGTATGACGTGGGATACTCTTATCCTTCTTTGTTTTAATTTGCGCAGATATAATATCCTTTTGTCGTTTGTCGGGATGGGCTGTATTTGTATTAGCGCGGCTTTGCAGGAAGTCACGTGTGAGCAACAGCGTCAGCACGAACCTGAAATTACAGAGCGTCAAGAACAGGGGTTGCATTAGTTAGAGAGCGATATGAGAAACTCTGAAAGGACAGAAAAAAAACTATTTGGCTTTGTTTCAATATATTAAGCTAAGAAACGTAAAATAAGTCCCAGCGTCCTGAGAAGCTGATCTGATGACAAAATGATAAATGTAATAAGAAAAAAAAATGGGTGCGGGCGAGAGAGAGAGATCGAGAGCAGATACAGGATGCTTTAAATGGATATGCTGAAAAGAATAGATTTTTTAAAAAAAAAAAAGACGAAAAGAAGAGAGGATAAAAATAGAAAACAGTGAAGAGAAGAGAACAACGCGAATAAGTGGAGGAGGCCAGGGAATAAATAACAAAAAAAGTCAATAGCTTATAGGGTAATCTTTTGTAACAAAAAAGAGAAAAGCAAGAAAAGGGAAAAATAGGGAACGAGACATTTGGAGGGCAGAAGCATTGGAATAAAGATAGAGCAAAAAAGACAAAGAGCCAGCGAAGGAATAGGTACAACAATTTAGCACAGACCGTTTCTTCGAATGGAAGAGATACTACTCAATTCAGATAGGGGAATAGTGTGGGATAGGGGGAGGTCAAAAGAGGTAACCAGAGCTTTCCTGACGAACGAAAATGGCGTTAGATTTCTAAATCGCGCTGGAAGGGAGGTAGGTATATGTGAGGTGAAATGTTATGTAGGGCAAGCAAAGTAGTTGGTCATAAGAGGTAAAAGGAAAATTCGGGTTGAAGCGAAACAGGGGGTGAGGAGGAATAAAGGTTAAAAAGGTAAATGTTGGCGGCCGGGCCACAGGATGATATCATGTCATACCCCTCCCTCTGTCCATCATCCCAATCCTAGACGGCATTTTTTTCTTGATTTTGTTTTTCATACTTTCTCGATCACCACCGCCTCACCCTCTTCCCCATTCTTCCTTTTCTCTAGGCTTCAACGATAACGGTAACGCTAAAAAGATAAAGCGAGAAGAGATGAAAATACAAACGGAAACAATCAACGAACACAACATGACACACAACACAGGAAGAAAGGGTTACTGCATTTCCGGCCAGGAAAGCGAAACAGCAGCAACAGCAGAAGAAGGGGGGAAGGACGAGGAAGAGGAGCAAGTAAGAAATGAAATAAGAAGGCATACAAAAAAAAAAAAAAAAATAAAATAAAATAAAATAAAATAAAAAAATAAAATAAAATAAAATAAAGGAACAAAAAAAAAGGTTTGGAAAGCAAAAGCAAAACCCCAAGATAACCCAGTTAGCCACAGGGTGACGAGAAAGCACCAAAAGTTATATTTTTTCGATATTTCGACTATCCGCAGATTTGCAGAAAATGTAATTACGCGGTTTCCGCCAGAATTATTGCGAGACAGTGAAGTGTGACTCTGCGCAGTGTTATTTATTAATATTTGTGAGCCAAGTCAAACGAGTGGGAGAGTGAGATAACGTTCTTATATAGGTCCACCGGCTGCGGCAGCTGCCTGCCGCTGTCGAAATGCCATCTGCTGTTGCTGTTGCCGCTCTTGTTGTGTTTGGCTGGTATAACTATCTCCACTTGCGCTGCGATCTGGGAATCGGGGATGTGGCTGCTGCTGCTGCTGCTGCTGCTGCGAGCCGTAATCATATTCCATCGGCGGTGAACCGAGTGTTTGTTGTTGCTGTTCGAATTGTTGTGGGCCTTGTGGTGGTGCAGCACCCGTTGCAGCTCCAGCTCCAGCAGGTTGCACATGTCGGACAGATGTTTGCATCTGCCGCGCATTGGCTTGGGAAGGATCCGTGTCAATGCGTGTGGCGAGGGGTGGGTTGACCGCACGGCCCGAACCGGTGCGGACCGGAGTGCCTTCCGCAGTGGGTGGTGCGCGTTGCGGGGTTGCAATTTTGCTGAGGTCACCGCCGTACCGTTTGAGGATTTCCTTGGTCGTTATTTCTGCGCTCCCGTTGAAGAGGGATGAGTCCGTTAGGACGGATTGGAGATGTGCTGGGACCTATATGACAAAGGTACTTAGTATTTTCCCATAGTGACTCTTCCGGCGTGGCCATTTGGAGTTTTTCGTTTTTCAGCTCACCTCACACATCGTATCATTGTACTCTATCAATGCGGTGACAGCTTCTATCGCCAGGAAGCTATCCTCCATCCCCGCTGTTTTCTCTCTCGAGTAGAGAATATTAGGAGTCATGACGGTCGCGATGTTGTGGATATCCATTTTGCTACCAGATTCTTCATCGACATGAGAGAACGAGGAGGCCCAGTGGAGGAATGAAAAGAGGACCTCCATGGTATCCCTGTGTGTCTTTGGGAGTAGACAACAAGTTAAGTGCAGAACACGCCGTTGATTTTCGGGATCGGATATTTCTGAATATATTTGGTCAGGTCTCATTATTACGTAGGGGGTAAAGGAGAAAAAGTAGAGAGAGAATGAATAAATCGCGGAAGTGGATAACCTACTCTGAGAAACAAGGAACAACCGATGTAACTTAAACGTAAGCAACGGGTCCGGCATCTCCCTCAAAAACTTCTTGAGCAGCGCAGCAATCTGCACCGGATTCTCTTTATTGAAATCCGCCTGCTCATACTTCGTATCGACAATATCCGATGTCTCCTTCAGACGCTTGATATTACCATTCTTCCGAAACACTCCCTCGACAGACATGTCCATTTGTCGCATAGCGGAAATCGCATCGTCAACGAACGTCGGTATACGCAACGTGCCCGGACCAACACCATGCGTTGACTCCGTCCCATCTTTCTCGATCAGTGCGTCTAAGCCGACGCCGAAGACGCCTTTCTTCTTCCCACCTTTGCGGCCATCGTTCTTAAACGCGCGGCCGAAGATGTTCCAGATCGTAGGTTTGCGCGACTCAATGAGACCCAGGAGTTCTTCCAGATTGAAGTGTCCTTCTAGAAGTGGCTCCATGGACAAGACGGCAACGTGTCGGACAATAAAGTACTCCAGCGCAGATAATTCGGAGAAATACTTTGTGGTTCTAGGCGCGCCGGTGTCGCCACGGGTGTCGGCGAGGCCGGATACTTCCCTTTGGTGTCCATTGACTAGTTTGGGAGGTCGGCCTCCGGAGGTAACAAGATTAGTTCCAGCATGGCGGAACGCATTAGGCCGCTGCTCCTTAGCTTGCTCAGCTGCGACGATTCTTGGGATATCATCCAGCGTCAGCGCGTCCTGGTTTCCAAATGTCAGGTCTTTAATTGGCTCGCCAGTAGCATCTCGTTCTTCGACAATCTGGAAACCTGGATTGTTCGTTTCAGACCCGCTGGCACCTGGGGAACCGGGGCGTGCAGATCTTCCCTGAGGCCCGTCAATGATTCGTGAAGCGTGGGCTTTCTTATATATTGTGGAGAGAGTGCGTTCTGTGCGGGTTGAGTGGAGTCTTCGAATTTCGCCGACGGTTTGTTCTAACGACGATGAACCGGCGTTCTCGTCCCGTGCACCGCCTGCCCCGTACGATCTCGATCGGGTATTTGATCTCTGGGGTGTCTGGAGTTCTCCCGCGTCGTTCAGACGGTGGCCATCGTTCGCTTCGTAGCTTTTCAGGTTTGGATCGTCTGTATATCGCAAGTCAGTAAATGGAATAATAGAAAAGTGACAGGATCAGGATTAGTACCTGAGGTATGCGGCAGAGTCCCACCAGACCGTAAAACCGAAAGCAGTCTCGCAAGAGCCACCTGCAGCAAGAATACATACTGCTGCAGTTTGCTAACATAAGCAAACCCTTTTTGTCCATTCGGCGCGTGGCCTCCCCGTTCAGCACATATGCGACAGAATGGCCGATCCTTTTCCTCGCTCCACCGCGCATTGAGCAGGTCCAGAGTGAGGTCATTCTGACAAGCGCCGCAAACGAGATGCGAAGGTTTCAAATGCCACCTTCGCCGGCCGAGGATGATGCATTCATCATCGATTGGGTCGTTGCAGGCAGCACAGCAATCGGACTGTTGGTCGGAGAGTTGGTTCATAGAATCTGTGAGATTGGAGGCGGAGATGGAATCTAATTCACCCAGGCTGTCCAGTTTATCTAGGAATGCGTATAATTCGTCCGGGTTGTCGATCTCCCTTTCTAACTTCAAAGCACCCTGTAGACCGATACGGATTAGAAGCTTTAGGTAGTGGGCAAGCCCCGTTACAAGGGCCAGCAACTCTTGCGTGACACCAAGTTTACGAACACCCGTCTCTTGAGTTTTGGAGAGCAATGCAAAAAATGCGACAATTTTTTTGCACAGGAGTTTGGCTTCTCGACCGTATTGCAGATCTAAATTTCCATGTTTTTTTTTTTTTTTTTTTTTTTCGTTAATGCAAGTACGAAAGAGAACGGAAACAGATGGGAACCGGTTTCCTTACCTTTCATCTTTCGATATGATATCGCAGCAGCAAGTCCATCCAAAGCCTTAAACAGAACCTCAACATGGTAGATGAAGTTTTTCGCAACAACAACACCATCGATGTACGCGCCATTACTGACATGTAATAACATGTCGGAGATGCAAGCAGCGGAAGACTCTTCGAATGTAGACAGCACGCTCCATATCCGGTACACCTTCTCTTCCATCTTATCCTCTTGCTTTTTGACAAAGTTGCGATCTTCTTCGGTAGCCTCGATATCCAACTCTGGACGCACAAACTCCTGCCCGTTGGGCGCAAGCCGGACGTTCCAGAACTTGTGGATCATATAGCATTCCGGGTGCCAGTGTTGATTCTGGCCGTTGCGGAAGATCTCGACGAATTGCTTCAAGATTGCCGTATGGCACCCATTGCACCTTTGGGCGAACTGTGTTGAATAATGATAATGACAGTATACTTTGTCCTCATGTTCATAGTAACTATCCTGTGCTCCGAAGACGGTTGGACAAGCGGAACAAGTAAAATGTTCGATGTGGTATTTGCGATCCAGAGCGGTAATATATGACCCACGGAGCGCACCACCACAATCATAGCAGAGTAGATTTAGACGTCGAAAGTAATCCGTCTCACAAAGAGGGTATTGGCCAGAGCCATCCTCAGCGTCCACCGGGAAGAATTTCGATGCGACAACATCGCCACAGTCCTATTATTAAGTTAAAAAAAAAATAAAATAAAATAAAAGACAAGCGAAGTAAGCAACGACAAGATACAAAAAAAAGAACAATAACATACACTGCACTGGAAGCACTCCAGGTGAAATGTGCCGCCCAACGCCCGCACGAACTGGCCCTGGAGGGGTTCCCCGCATCGCCTACAAGTCCCTACCACCAGGAGACTTGCTCCCTGATCCCCCATTTAGGCGAGGCCTGTCGCGTGGGCCTGATCCTGATCCTGCGCCACCTTGTTGAGTGTTAGAGGGGTGCGGTCCCCGCCCAGTGCGAATGTCCGGCGCGTGATACGTGTCGGTGTCGAAAGCACCACCGCCCATGGGTGGTGAATTATTATTATCCCACGGGACTCCCGCGCCGGCGGACCCGGTGGAACTGGACATATTACCTGTCGGAGGCTGGGTCTGGTAGGATTCGCCGTACATGCCCGGGTCACCTAGATTTGCCGGCGGTTGAGCCCCATTGTTCCTAGGCCCCTTGCCTGGAACTAGGTCTGGTGGGAAAGCACGCCCACCAGGAGGAGGCATTTCCGCACTTCGTCCTCCTGGGGTCGTTTCGAGGAATGAGAATCCCTTTACACCCACGATCCAAACCCAAAATAACCCGTGCGATTTATGTCTATCCTAACCACCAATGCAAATTGCGAGGATATTTATTATTGTTTTTAATTTCGAGAAGGGAACCGAGTGAATTTGTGGCGATGAATATTCGTTGGGTAGGTGAGGCAAAGCGAAATTAGGCTGTCAGAAAACGGAGGGTTAATTAAAAGCAGAAGGCGCCGAAGAAGGACGTCGGGTTTCACAGGTATACCAGGAAGATAAATGCAATCAATCAATCAATCAAAAGACCAGGATGTGTATTTGTGGACGATTGTAGCAGTATGTTTGCAGGAAGAAGCTTGCTTGGCTAGGAAACGTAGGTAGAGCTCTCGTGGGAGGGGAGGAGCAGAGCAACGGTGCAATTTCAAATTCAGTCTCGTATAGAAAACTGTCAGGGAGAAGTGGGAGGGTGAGGAGAGCAAGGGAGGAGGGGGGGGGGAATATACAGCTGGGGGTTGGTGGTTGTTCCTAGCACCGAAACGTGACCTAGCAGCCCCCCAAGC